TACACCACTGCCATATTGGTAGTATATTACATACCATTGGTAGTATAATTGTAGATTTTCAGTTTTCTACAAGATTTCCAAGAATGCTTTTCATAATCTTTTGTTTCACGCATCAACACGCTGGTGCAAAATCATCGTAAACTAGAGCATGAAAAGAGCTAGAACTTTACTTTTGTGCTTCCAAGAGTTTGTAGTATACAATCATCACTTATGCGCAACAGCACAGCATCACTCTGGCAAGAACATTTTTTTCGCTGATTTTCTGTTAAGGAAAATGCAAAATATATCTAAGAATGTAATGGGATGTATATACATAAATGTGAATGAGTGATACATGAGATGATCTTTTTTGACGACGGAATGTATTTATTCAATTTCTAAAGCTTCCAAAACTTTTAGATTTTCGTTTTAAACTCGGATCGAAGCTGGCGCAAAATCAACGCCATTCTAGAGCTTGCTTGCTCTATTAAACGTTACCCTGAAACTTGTTGAAATAATAAGTGAATAATCCATTAGAATGCCAAAGTGTAACAAAGCTTCATGCTCAACCGTTGGTGAGTCTTGTCATTATTAGATATGTTTTTAACAACCCAATACTTCTGTTCACATTTCTGGTTTCCCGTGCATCCCATGCTTAGTGCTTTTGATGTATTACAATTGATTGGAGAGCTAAAGGATGTTCGTTAACGACTGCCCCGATTCGTGCATTTACTCCATCGTGGGCGTGCCTCTTTGGAGCCTTTCCAGCTTGACAGTACGCTGCAGCGCGCCGGGAGTTCGTAGCTCGCAGCAACACTGTCCTTTAGCCTCTTTTGTTGATTTAAGTATTTCACATCGTTTTTCTTTTCTTATACGTATTTCAGTAGTCATTCGTTTTCCCTTTTTCCCAGAATTCTCTCAATGTGCAAATATCCCACGTTCTACTTTGATGAATACTGAAAGGTAGGGAAAAGAATTTGTTTAGGTACATCTTATATACAAAGCTGAATGTCTGTTTGTCTGTTTGTCTGTACGTATGTTCCGAATAGAAAATTCCATTTCTGAACCGATCCGGACCAAACTTGGCACACATATACTTCGGGGGGGGGGGGGGGGGAGCGTGTCATAGGATACTTTTTGTCATCGATCGACATCGATTTTATCGGTTTTTTTGCAGAGGTCACCTACGGGGCTGGGATTTGGTACAGAGGGGGGATAGTCGAGCATGCTGATTACGAATACAAGACTAGTTTTCAGAATTATCCTTTTTTATCGACTTTATCGATTTTTTGCAAAGTTTGCGCTACGGGGCTGGGAGCCAAACTAATATTGTACTCGTAACCAGCATGCTCGATTACCCCCCTGTGAGCCAAACTAATATTGTACTCGTAATCAGCATGCTCGAATACCCCCCTGTGAGGGCACAGGGGGGGGGGGTAATCGAGCATGCTGATTACGAGTACAATATTAGTTTGGCGCTGTTCGGCTATCCGGGCCCCTCTAAGAGTTGGAACGAAATTGGCCATCGGTATTGGAGGCAACGATGCTTGTCGAGACAACCATCGGTTGCCCCTGTCAAGGACAACCATCGGAAAAAATTGAACCACTGGTTCAACACCTCAGTCGAGGTGAGCCACTCGGCCACCTCAGTCGAGGCGGTATCCGCGGTTCAATCAACGAAAGCGTACGGTTATATCAACATTCGGTGAAACCGGACTTTTCACAGAAAAATCAAAAACGCCTTTATCTTTGCTTCTATGAAACAGTACAACATATGAACTTCCACAAGAATAGCAAAAAAACAACTTTACAAAAACAACTTCACAAAAAAATTTTTGCATACGATATGATCAATAGAATATGTGATCAATTTACTCAAGATTTAATATCTCTTCTCCATCTCCCTTTGCCTCCGTTCTCTCCTTAGCTTCCTTTTTTGCCTCCCTTTTGACTAATTCAGTCATGCGCACAATTTCATCAAAGGCAGGTTCCAAACGCAAATCGATGCTTGAACTCTCGGTGGTCGGCTGCAATTTCGGTTTCGTTGTTGGTGGTCTTGGCGGTGGTGCATATTTATAACGATAGCAATGAGATTAAACATCAACACAAACTCCAGATCTTATTCCGTTTAGGCCCGTATGCACGTACATCCCCGCTGGGGAGGGGAGGGGATCTGAGAGGGGATGCGTCATATCTCGCTACTTTACGTATCTTTCTTCTTCCTTTTCTATCTTGCTTATGAAGGTACTCATACCCTACTACCTGCGCATAATCGATACCAGGTTACTGGCATAACTGATTAGATTTGTACTATTTTGTGTGATCCCCTGGGGATCCCCTGGGGATCTCCAGGGGATCACACAAAATAGTACAAATCTAATCAGTTATGCCAGTAACCTGGTATCGATTATGCGCAGGTAGTAGGGTATGAGTACCTTCATAAGCAAGATAGAAAAGGAAGAAGAAAGATACGTAAAGTAGCGAGATATGGCGCATTCCCTCTCAGATCCCCTCCCCTCCCCAGCGGGGATGTACGTGCATACGGGCCTTAGAGATTTTCCTCATTGCTTACCATCGGTCTCATTGGGGGCCTACACCTGTGGATATATTGCAATAAAAACTTCTTTCACCAGGTCACCTCTTGCGGGCAGTGGGGAATGTGGCCTCGGGCTCCTGGGGGCGGTTTACGCCTTCGTGGTGGTTCGCGGTCGTCCTGGGAGGATTGCGGTGGGGGTTGCTTCGGGCGCTGCACCGGTCTTTGCCGCCTGGATGGGCACTACCCTGGCAACCCAAACTGAGCCGAAATAGAGTGCTTCCCATCGGAGGCCTCTAAGTGCGGCGTATACTTCATAGGCGTGGTTAGGCTTGGGCTCTATCTCTGTTTGTGTGGTCAGACAAACAGAGATAAGAGCGATAGACGCCTCCCGTACGTTTTTATATCTGGATTGATCCGGACCAAACTTGGCACACATATACTTCGGGGCGGGGCAAATGTCATAGGCTCCTTTTCGCCATCGATCGATACCTATTTTATCGATTTTTATCGATTTTTTGCAAAGTTTGAGCACGGGGCTGGGAGTTGGCACAGGAAGGTAATCGAGCATGCTGATTACGAATACAGTAATAGTTTTTGGAATTATCCATTACTTTCACCGATTTTATCGACTTTTTGCAAAGTTTGAGCTACGGAGCTGGGGATTGGCACAGGTGGGGGAGGGGGGTAATCGAGCATGCTGATTACGAGTACAATATTAGTTTGGTGCTATTCGGCTATCTGGGGCCCAAAATTTTTTTGTCGTAGAGCTTGCTCAGACTCCGTGTATAAGTGTTATCTTACATGCTGATTACAGATATCACACTCTATCCGCAGAACGTCTCCCCGTGTGGTTACGATGGTGTACGGTAGGAAGTCAAAATCACGAATTCGGCGGGAGTTCGGTCCAGAGAACTTATTTGACATGCTAATTACGAATTTCATACTCTCTCTGCATATTGGGACCTTTTCATAGAGTTATGGTGGTTATACGGTTTGGGATCAAGAAAATAGATTGCTTTAAATTTTGTCTAGGGTGGTCATTTAGCGCGCTGAGCATGAATATCATGCAGGATAGTGCATTTTCTTGAGTTACGGTGGGTGTACAGTAGATGGGTCCAAGTCCCAGATTTGCTCAAGGCCTTACCTGTAACTCACAAGCATACTGCTTATGGATATGATGCTTGCTCGCTGTCACAACGCATTATTGTGAAGTTATAGAGTTGCAGGCTTTGAATGGACATTTTTTCGCTTTCGGGCCAATTTAGATCCCAGATATTCACGAAATGGGGAAACGCGTTTTGCATGGCGGTCTCCAACGCCATCCTGATAACCTGTCCCAACGCGTAACGCACGCGGCAAATCTCCCTTTCCCTGTTTTTACTTAGGCAAAAGCCGCCGAAGGGTGTATCGCGCGCGGCAATGGTTCTATAAGAAAGCATTACGCTCGTAGGAAACTTTTATACCACACGAAGTGCCTTTTCGTAAGGATTAAGCACGATTTTTTTGAAACAGCACTTTAGGTAATTCCCTCTGCCAAGGTTTCAGCCAGGTTCATGATTTTTACCCGCTGCCACGCGAAATGACTACTATTTGTCATCAGCGGCTCAAATAACCCCCATTTACCGAGTTTGAGCAAGATCCGTCACAAAAACATTTTGGGGCCCGGATAGCCGAATAGCGCCATCAGTTTTTAGAATTACTTTTATCGATTTTATTGATTTTCTGCAAAGTTTGAGCTACGGGGCTGGGGGTTGGTGAGGAAGGTAGGTGAGCATGCTGATTACCAACACAGCGGGAATAGGGAATTGCATGTAGAAGTGGGAACAGGGCAAGGTTGTACAGGGAAGGGAATGGAAGTTTATCAAAGTGTTTTGACAGGGCCGGGCGGAGCCGGGTAAGCCAGCTAGTTTCTTGAATTTCTCTTTTTTTTACCCACCAAACATTCTTTTTCACAGTGATGGACCATCGCCTCGGGCAAAATTAGGTGAAAGGGTGTGCTGTGTTCATAAACAGACAGTGGTGGCTATCATGGATTTTCCTTAGATGAGGCCACTCTAATCTTAATTCCCCTCCTACATGGTGTCCCTGATGTAGGAGTGCTGAAGTAATCACTTCAGTGGTTTGTCCTAGGAAACATGTCAAATCATTGTATTACATCAAAGAAAACCTGCAGCCTCAAACATAGCTATGATATCCACCACTGCAACTACAAAAAAGGTCATTCTTTCCTCTAGTTTGGTCGCAGCGATGATCTCACATAGGCACTAGAACGACTGATTGCCTGAAATGAAAAATAAGAAGAAAAAAACGATGTGAAATGCTTAAGTCAACAAAAGAGTTAAAGAGCAGGGATGCTGCGAGCTACCAAGTCTCGGCGCGCTGCGGCGTACTGTCAAGCTGGAAATACTCCAAAAAGGCACGCATGCGGTGGTTAAATGCACGAAGCGGGGCAGTCGTCGACGGATTTCCTTTACCCGAATCTTAGGTAGCGAGTCGGTCTACCATGCAAGTGACTGGTGTACTGCTGATACTGGCAGGTCTTCTCACCAAATGTGCTGCTGTATTGAGTTCTATACCGGATGCCGTAATTGGCGGATTACTTGCAATGGGGATATCTATGATACTCGGCGCGGCAATGGGGACTTTACAGGTCTGCATTTGTTCAAGATCTCTCAAGCTCTCAACTAGTCGCAAATTAGCACAGAATGTTGATCTACGGCTGACTCGCAATCTCACGGTTATGGGCACCGCTATTTTACTGGGAGCACTAATTCCATACCACTTTGAGAAGAACAGAGTTGACACAGGTTTAGTACAAATCTTTCGAATTTTATCTATATTTACTCGACTCAGCAATTATAGATGGTCGTATATCAGAACTAGTTTCAGGTATAAAAGCTCTAGATGATTGTCTAAATATGCTTCTGAGCATTCAAATGCTTATAGCTGGCGTAATCGCTTTTGCGTTAGACAATACCGTACCAGGTGTTTTTGGCTAAATAAGAGCAGAGCCATCAAGCTCCGCTATGTTAATGTTTCCAGGTGCAACTAGGGAGCAAAGAGGTTTCGTTCCCAAGGAACTAACGAAGAATGTAACAGTCGAAGATGATGGCTATGCACTACCAGAGATAGTACGCAAGTGAGCAATAATGTCCTAGTCCAAGATAGCAAACATTGTGGTCCTCTTCTAGCTCATTTTTTTGCAGATTCCTACTTCGATATCCGATCCTATGTAATCTTCCTTTTATACCATCAAAAAGGACTCTCCTTACATCAGGTGGAAGCTGCTCAACGGCTTCAGCGTCAATGTCACCGTGAAAATTGAATAAATCTACAAGCAAATATATTAGGTTGTGAGGAAAATAATGTCGTATTTTATTTGCTTACTTCAACAAAGCAACCAGACTCAAAGGAACAAAGGGTGAGGGGTACTCGATGGAGCAAGCCAAGCTCTACAAGATACATTTATAAGTTTGCGCCAAGCTGGATCCATGGAAAGTTCAAACTTACAGAGATTGCCAAATGCCCATAAAATCAAAAAAAAAAACAGTTGGTCCAAGTAAATTCTACGGACCTCCCACTCGCACACTTCAGTACTTCCAATAAGCGGTAGTTTTCGAGAAATGATAAATTCGTCTTTCTTCTTTTCAGTCTCATTGCTACTATCGACATGAAAACTACCGCTCGGAATAGGTTGAAAATCTACAGTTATGCTTAACTAGGCGTGTATAATAGTATAACAAAGCATATACAAGAACGCCTCAGTATTGCTTTGAGAAAAACATGAAAATTTTCGTTTTTTTAGTTTTGGTCAAGGAAAAGATACAGCAACTGCACATGTGGATATCAGATATTAAGTACTGATGTGTGCGAGTGGGAGGTCCGTAAAAATACGGATCGTTTTTCTCCGATTTTTTGGGCATTTGGAAATCTCTGGTCTTTGTCTTTAAACTTTCCGTTGATCCAGCTTGGCGCAAACTCATAAATGTTATCTTGTAGAGCTTGCCTTGCTCCATCGAACAGTTCTTCTCATCCTTTGTTGGGTTAAGTCTGGTTGCTTTGTTAAAGCAAGCAAATAAAAAACGACATTATTTTCTTGACAACCTAATAGAATCTGTTTCTTCCTTGAGTGTAGTGAAAAGTAAGAGATATAAGATAAAATGATGGTGTTTGCGGAGTAACATTTAAATGTTTGGGGAAACGAATAACATGAAAGCAATCGTCGAGCCTGAAAGCACAAATGTTGGTGATCTTTTTTTGTTATTACTTTACTCCACGCAGAATTTAAAGAGCGACTATTTGAAAATCAAACTCCATTTTGGAAGAAACAAGGATGTTTTCTATTCTGGTTTTCACAGTTGTACCGATCTCTTTGGTAATAATGGAAAAATGTTGTCAGCAAGTAACACGCGGAATCCTCCTTACCCACGAATCCATTCTTACCCAGACGACGTATGTAAAGATATGTGTACACATTTTTCACATTGCTATTGATTCAATGAGTTTGTTCTGATTACACAGCAATTCCAAACATATGCGAAAGAAAATTTCTTTGTAACGTCCTTCCACACAAAGCATTGCGGATGTCATCAACTAATCCTACACCAAGGTCACAAATAATACCTTTGTTAGCCAATTGCTCACAGTTTGTTCTGCATAGTCTCTCAAGATTCCCCAATTGATATTGCTTTTATAATACATGGACTTATGATATTGCTTACAATGGAAAAATACCGATCGCACTGGCGTTTAGGATGGGGATGTACTTCATTATGGTCTCCCAGGACGCTGCGTGTTTCTAGAGCAGTTGGCTCAGCCATAAAGTTACCGAGTTCGAATCCCATAGGTACACTCCTTTTGCATTCTTTGCGAATTCTCTTATCTTATCTTAAAGTCATATTAAAAAGCAAATATTAGTAGTTTTCGTTATGAATGCGTTATGAAACACATTTCTGACGCGATGATAATGCACTAATTATCACGTATTCCTCCGCACACAGGGCGAAACCCGCAGAACCAGTGCCCGTGACTTCTTTCACAAAACCTTTCAGGAGATCCAGAAAGGGTATATGTTATGACAGAATTAAAATGGTTTTTTTCAATTATATTGAGAAAATCAATATAATTCTGTACCGTAATGAATGAATGAATGAAAGTGTAATGAATTAGAACCTGCTGAACGACAGTTCAACTCGGTGCCCTTTGATAGAAAGATTCAGTATGAGGAACAAACATATTCATTTGTTGTATGGTGGCTTTCACAATGACGCCTTTTGAAACTACCTCTATCTTGGGAACATCACGTGAAAACTCTAAACAACAATGGTCTGCTCTGTTCTGCTTATCATTTTGAACAAGAAACACTCAGGCATGAATAAAATGGTTGCAAACTCACACTTACATACCCATATAATTCTGATTTTTTCGCCATCACTGAAAAATGATCGGCGACGTTGTGTACATTATAGACAAAAGCAAGATCTACAGTCTGCTCTAGGGATCACAAGCCGAATCGCCGGCGCAAATTTGCGCGCTCGCAGCGCTGGTCTGCGCTGCATATGCGCGCTGCCGGAGAAAGCAAAAGGATTGGAGAGAGAGCAAAGAAGCAGACCGTGGGCGTGAGCGCGAAGACCTAGCGGCGCGGACTCCCGCCATGCCAATTTTGGCCTGGTTGGGATTTGGGCAGACTATAACAAATGTAGAGAAAAACGCAAATGCAAATGCACAAAAACTGCGGAGCTAACTAAATGAATGGAAAACGATGTCTGTATATGCGCGTATACAGTCTATGTGTCATCAGCGACAGATCAATGGTAAGACTGTTATCAGCACACTGAATTCAACCAAAATAATAATCGATAATTCTGCAAACTAATATTGTATTCAGAATCCCCATGCTCACTTATCCCCCTGTGCCAACTCCCGGTCCCGTAGCTCAAACTTTGCAAAAACTCGATAAAATCGATAAAAATGGATAATTCTAAAAACTAATATTGTATTCGTAATCAGCATGCTCGACTACCCCCTGTGCCACCTCCCAACCCCGTAGCTCAAACTTTGCAAAAAATCGTTAAAACCAAGTTTTCGTCCCCTGCGATTGCTTCATTATGGCTCTTAATGGTATTAAAACGACCTTTTTTCGTATTTCGCTTTTTAACCTTTGATTTAGTCATTGCCTTTTCTTCACTGCAATTCGCTTTTTTTCGATGCATATTCTTAGAGCTCAAACACAGAAGGTGTCTAGTAATTTTCTGTAATGTCAAGGGGGAATTCGTTTTTAAATTTCTCATATGCCACTTCCTGCTGGGCCCTGATTGGAGGGGAGAATACTGAGGCAGTGCGCAACAAGCAGATGGGCAAAGAAGGAAAAGCAAAGTCGACGAGGATTTGGCTCTGGTCGGAGACCTCTCAACAAAATGTAGTATTATACAGGTTCCCGAAATTAATGTAACAAATGTCTGATCTGTATCAACTCTTCTGAATGAATATAGTGTAGAGCTGAGTTTAACTTACAATCAGATTCACAGTATGATGCGAACCATCGACCGCTCTTTATTAATGTAAGATTACGATGAGAATTCAGAGGGCATTGAGCTTTGGCCTCAGAAGGCAAACCAAACAACAAAAACACTTTTAGGCTAACCAGAGCCGCTGACGATTTAGTAAAGGGAATGTTTTCTTCTCATTTTTTTAAGACGAAAACGACATAATCTGAATATAGTGAGTAGAGCTTTTCAAGTGCAACAATCCTCAGCATGCCACATTCAAAACTTCGAACACCGAATTTTTAAACTTGTTCAAATGTGGTCGAATAGCCGTGTTGAGTCGCTGGAACGCTAAATCAACAAACGCCAAAATTTCTTCTGCACTTTTTAATATAGGCTTGAAGCTGACCACAAACTTTTCTGAAGTTTGTCAAAAATAGTTCTGTAAGGACTGCCTGAAGATTTTGAGAGATTTCGTCTAGTAGTGGGATGAAATTCCTTCATTTGTGGCTTCCATCTGTTTTAACGAACTCACAATCAGAGCCCATTACGAGGATGGCAGATGGAAACCGGTGAAACGGCTTCGCGTCTGCCACTATCGATTCTTACAAATTCCCACTTGATCCCGCCAGCTGCATATTTTGCGATTGGGGCGCGCTTTTTTCCTTCAAGGAACGTCGTTGCTATTCTTTCAACAAGGATGAGAGGAGGAGTTTGGAACCAAAATGTTACTATTAAGTTCTCATATTTTACCGTTTTACCGTACACATCAGCATTTCTCGAGAACTGGGTACAAAGGGTACAAATACATGATCGTACTTCTATAAGTATGAGGTATATGATCACGTGTGTGGGAGGAGCTCAGGACTTTTAGGGCGGAGTTTGCCATTTTACTCCATTCATTTTTTTTCTATATTTTTAGCCACGGAAAAAATAGGGGAAGTGTACAACTGAATGTTCGCTGTGTCAGGCGTATGCTAGAACAAATGGGGAATTCTTGAGATTTTTCGGGGTCAAGATACGATTTACGGTATGTTCATTAGCTTGCTATCATATTTCAGCTTAAAACTTCATGTGGAATACGAATTGGACAGGCTATTGATAACCGACTTGTAGAGCTTTCTTAGCTCTGTTAAATGGTTACTCAAAGGCAGTGTTTCACCAAAGTTGAGACCGCGCGGATATTCACATATTCTATCATAAGGACCTCTAAATGGGGCATTGCAACAAGTCCCACTCAATTTGACCCCCTCCACGCTGAGAAAAATTCGCTCAAAGTGGTACGCGGAGAGCGATTTGATACGCGCGGACGACTCCTTCGGTCTCCCCCCTTACGCGTTTGGACATGTCTCTCCACTTGGCATCCACCTCCCCTCTGTTGCTGCTACTGTGGCTGAGGCTGAAGTTGGAAGGCGCAACTCATCCACGTTGCTTTTGCGGGGCCTCCAGAAAACGGGATTTTTGGGGACTTCGTGCGATTTTAAGCCCATACAGTGCTAGACAGGCTCCGACACGCTTGCAAAATCCGAAAATCTCGGCAATCAAACTTGGTGAGACACTGCCTTTGAGCCACATCAATTTATGGAAAGATACAAAAAGACGACGGTTGTAATGAAAACGGTAAAATATCATGAGACACATAAACTATCAGGTGTGCAGAACGGATTTATGTAAAAATTTTGCAAAATTTATGTGAAATGGAAGTTTTGCCTGCCTCACCTAATGCCCACCTGCCAAATTAGGTGGGCATTAGCTGAGCAACTGCCCACCTAATTTGGAAACAAAGTCAACACGTTTCGGACTGGTGCTGAACGCGCCTTTGAGAGATCTTTCTAACGTTTACAGAAGGTTTTCTTTTTGTCCAAGATTATCAAATCAAAGGCCTAAGCTCCTTCTTCTCAAATGACTCTGTAAGGATGTGCCGCCGATATTTGTTTAGAAGGTATGAGCACAAATCGAACAACAGTTGCAACGATTTCCTTTGCTTCGAATTCAAGGAGAAAAAACCGTAGTTTCGATAGTGATGTGTATGATGTGTAACATAGACACTTTTGGGTACAAGTAGAAACTGAGTTCCTGTTCCTATCTTCCAAAAAAGCATAGTAGTCCTTCTCAGGCGACAAAATTCAAACACTTCGAATTCGCTCACAACTTTGGGTATGGATCTTATCTGACATGCTGATTATAGCACGCAGTCTACGAATTAAGGCCCCTTTGTTGGCTAACGGCTGAAAGTGCCCTCTTTTTCGCCGCGCGCGATTTCGCGGTCCGAAACGTGTTAGGCACGCCTTTTATTCACATAAGTTTTTCATAACTTTTCATACGTTGTTCCTTAGTTCGCGCGTACACAGCCAAATTTCGTGCCATATCGCCATCTGCGAAAAAATAAAGTTTTGTCATGCATTTTGAAGACCTTGAAATTCCAGTCGATGAGATTAATGGAAACAAGCTGAGAAACTGTCCCACTGCAGAGGATTTGGGGGCTTTGATTGATTCCTATTTGGATTTTTCTGCTCATATTGATAATTTAGTAAATAAAGCTTGTTCGGTTTTATTTGCGATTTTTCGTAGCCTACATACCGACAACCCGATGATCTTCAAACGTCTCTACCGAGCTTACGTGTTGCCACATTTGGAATACTGTTCTATAATATGGAATCCTTTTTTTAAGAAGAATATTTTGAAGCTGGAAAAAGTCCAGCAAACTTTTACTCGTATTTTGTATCTGAGGTGTCTTGTAAAACTCAGTTTTATCGATATGCCTAGCTATGAAAATCTCCTCAAGTCTTTGGCGATGAAAAGTCCAAAACATAGACGAATATTTTTTGATCTCTCTTTGGTTTTCGGCTTCTGCAAGGATAAGATTTTCCCCAACTAAATACTGGATTTTTAGATGTACAAACAGAAATGGTGGGTTAAACATTCATTACTTACTTACAGGGTTTTACAGAATTCCCCGATGGCTTAGACTATTACCAGAAACTGCACTGCAAACCTCATCTACAAACGTATTCAAGCGTAAAATTAATGCAATTGACTTATCCTTTTTACTGAGACAATCTGAGAATGAATAGGGACTATTATAGCCTTCTGAGCTTTGAGTTTTTGAACGTTATGATTGTTGTACTAACCCATATCCCAATTCGTCTCCGGTAGTCACATTTGCTTAGAAGCTACTTTGGAACGTATACAATATTCTTCGAAGCCATTCCGTTTTATTCAACTTTTACTTTCTCATGGTAGCGATGTAAGAGGAAGCTGAAAGAGGTCCTCCGCCGAGCATGCATGGATCCGCCCATGCGCTTTGGTGTCCTCTTTAGATTCGCTTGAAAATTGGTTATGGCTTTCACACCATGATTTATGTTGTTGAATCAATGGTAAGCTTGCTGTTTTCTGAATGTCGTTCTACTCTGGCTGCTGGGGACTCCGTCTATAATTGGCGTTTCTGTTTCGCTTTTTTGCACTAACCACGTTTGTCAGGAGCATCTATGAATGCACAAAATAAGTAAATAAATCTGTGCGTGCGTTGCATACGACCATTTTCCAGTTTTTGGTACTGGGAAATTTTCAGAAGAAAACTTGCCACAACCTTCACTCGCATAATTACTTCATGAAACTGCTAATTTGACTCCTACAGACCAGTATCCATTTACGTACTAGTTTTATGCCATACTGTCACATGTACATTGCAAAGAGCCGTTTTAATCGCATCTTCATTCGTCAGTTATGAGAAATTCTGGGAAAATTGCGTAGTACTCCTCCCATTCATATGAGTTTTTCATAAATTTTCATACTCCCATTAGCCTAAGTTCGTTCATCTATGCAATTTGGTGCTATATCGTTGCGCATGCATTGAGAACTACGACATCTCCTTTGCTTTTTCGCCAAAAGCGATCTCCAGCTTGTCATTTGCCCTACCTCGCGCAGGGCCCTGGACGAACTTCTCAATGGGAAGGAAGCTTGCTATCGTACACGCTTCCGCGAAGAAATTTCCCTACTTCACTCACGTCGCTTTTGCTTGCAAAATTTGACAGTTCGTATTTATCGTTTTAGTCAATTTAGAATTTGCGAAATTCTGTAGGAAGGGTATATGTGTTACAAGAATCCGGTATGCAATAAGCAATAAGCATTGTCCTGACTTCCAAAAAAGTGTGGTTGGATGAGTGACATAAGAGCTGAATTCAAAATCTGCTGCAAATACGCTCTTATTCTCTGAGTAAGCGGTTTTTCGAAGAGATTGTGAAATCACACCGCTATGGCTAACACCAAACATGAAGCAATACTGATGTGTCTCCCTTTACAGAAAAAAAAGCATTCTTTGATTGTGCATGCATTAAACCCCTACATAACGGTTGGTGACTTGACAACAAAGAAGTGGCATGTATAGAGAATAGCTTGAGTCAACATCCAAGTTGTTCGCTTTAGAACTGTACAGGTGTCGGAATGCCTTTGAGAATGTCAAACATTAATACCACAGACAAAATAAAGGAGAACGATGAAAGTGTATAAAAGCCAACATTTTAATTTTATGAAAAATGATCGCATAACTTAAGCTCCATGTGCATGACGAGCATGACTTAGTTGCTTTGCAGTGGAGGTGTAAGAAGCTTTTTTGGGAGGAACGACAAATTTCAGAAGTTTCCGAGAACTTTTTTACAAGGCTAATTTAAACTTTCAAAATTTAAAAAAATATTTCATTTATTCTAAAAAACTTTAAAAATTACTTTGATAATTCACGCGTAAAATCAAGAACAAAGTCATCGGCGCATCTAAATTAGGCAATTTTCAAAAAACTCGCAAGTCATTCTTGCCCATGACACGATATGTACCAGAGGGAGACTTTGCTTAACAAGGAAAGGGAGGTTAATCGAAGTGCCTTTCTGTACGTGAAGTTTACTGACTTGAAAAGTACAAAATGCTGATTCCAAATATACCTTTATTATCTGCTACGGATTTTTGAGCAAGGAGTTTGAAGGTTTTTATACGCAAGAAATTCAATCTATGCTCTGTGTAAAATCAGTCGTTGACTTTCCTAGCGTTCCGAAGTGAAAGAGTTAAATGGATACATTGCAACTTTTTGCTCACAAAAACTTTCGTAACTCCTCTCCCAGGAACTCGCAGCCGATAGGGAAGGTAGATTTGGAATTAGCGTTTCATACCCTTCAAGAAGTATCCATCTCATATAAAAAGAGCCCTCCAACTAACCTTACTTTTCTTGTAAGCTCAGATGCTTCATACTGTACAAAAGAAATAATTCGGACGTTTGAAAATTATCTTCAACTAACAAGAGTCAAAAAATCCTCACTACAGCTCTTCTTTCCACTGGCGGGATCTCTACAAACTTGAGAAAATGCTTGAGAAAAAAATTTTTTCCCGTTTATCAAGTTTTCTAATGTCCACCAGTCCACCAAATCATATGGAGATACAAAGGCGAAACACCGCCAATTTGGAAAATTCAGCAAGATCAAAGAAACGCTGCATTTCCCAGCCAAGGATTCGACGATAGTATAAAAGCGACACACACCTGATAAGAAGCGCACCCAGTGGCGCCGTCACTACGCCGAAATCAGTACGTCAGGGTGCTGCGGGTAAGCTAGCATCACTCATTCCAAGTATTCTTCTCATAAACATGTGACACAATCACACCGTTTCTCGCCCTTCTGCACACATTGTCATCTGCTGCTGCCACTCCTCTCGCTTGTGCTATTTTTGTAAATTTTTCAGCGGATGGAGGAAGCAAAGGAAGAACTTGAGGCAGCGCTTATTCAGGCGAAAAGGGAATGTGTCAACATTCAACGAAATATTTTGGAAAAAGAAAAGGTTTGCGAGTTTGTATATAGTTATTTTCACAGTATTATTATTTTTCACAGTATTATAATTTTTTTATAGTATGGCATACGCCCTGGTGAGGATTTATACGTAAGAAGATTTCTCTACGCTATCATAGTGGCCAGAAGAAACCCGTTCTATAATGGAGTGAGTTCTAGGCCTTTCTCTCAATTTGATTTCTCTGATCTTTTTCTTGTTGGACTTATTGAGCTTTCTATTCGTTGGTAAGCAAAGCTAAATGGTTGAATTCACCGCGGCGCTCTGTTCACGCTTTACGATATTCTTATCAGCAACGTTGGAATGTTTGCATTTTCCTCGTTCTTACATCTTTCAATCAATACTATTCAAGCACTATATTCTATTTTTTGTCAGCTTGTAATCGTTTACACCTGCTAACAGTCGTACGATATTATCTGATATAGAGAGTAGTAATTTTGTTGGACACGAAATTTCCTTGACTCCTGACAAGGAACATGTGTAATCAAATTTTCTCGAATCGTGGCAGAGTTTGCATGATGTCACTCGAGCGTGCTTCTCTTAGAATGAAAAGGGTTTCGGGCACAAAAAATCTTCGTCGCAAGTGTTACCATACTCGACTGATTTTTGACAGATGCTTCAAAAGATTCTGCGGAGTAACGCCTGATCTTTCTGACAAGGGAAGGGTACTTGGTCGAAGCGGCGTTTCCATGTGAGATGTATATTATGTTACAAGGCATGGAAGGGAAGGCTGATTCCAGATCAGCTTTCAATTATCTGTAAAGCACTTCCGGGGAAGTTTTGGGAATTTAAATCAATGATTAGACTTAGATAAAAATAGGTGCTGAGGTCTTTCCGGTGCTTGAAAAGAGTAATGACGGCATTTATTGGACCGAAGGTCTTTTTTATATAAAACGTCCTGAATAGTAAACATGGCCCCATTTGAGCTCACGCACTAAGGTTCTGAATGATTATATGTACTGTAGTGGTGCTTTCAAATTTTTGTTTCTAAAAATCTTCAGAACTCCCCTGCCAGAAGCGCTTTACAGATACCGAAACCAGCTTTGAAATCAGCATTTCATCTCTATAAAATAGTATACATTGGTATGGAAACTCCACTTTGACCAAGTATCCGTCTCTTATGAGATCCTTCAACTTTCCTTTGATGGCAAACATCTGTATATCAAGAAAGTATGGAAAGAAAATTTCTCAATTTTTTGCACTCACTGACCTGCAATGTACATAGGAAATCTTTTGAGCTTTGCATTTTCACCAGCTCAAAGTTGACGGATTAGCAGCAGACTTGCAACTTGTCTGCGCACTAGCACTGGTGGATTTGCGCGTAACGAAGATTTTAACACTTTCGCCATGAAAATCTCATTCTGATAAATATAATTTTAAGTAAATTTTCTTTCTTTCTATAATGCTGGCTCAGCATGATCGGCAATACATTCAAGCAGCGCATTCGTTATTTGGTCACTGTAATTATTGATAGTTTGAATCTCCTCTAGCATTTCGACCGGTGACTTGTTATTCAATATCGATCACCAAATTGTATACCGATAACAGCGTTAGATTTCCGTCTCAATTTTACACTGAACTGACAGTGCGTTAAGCGTATAAGGGAAAGGACATAAACGCGAGTTGATTTTGTTTTTTCGCAGTATTGGGGGTAGCCATTTTACCATATTTAAGAAAGAATTGCTCGCTAACCCATGATAAGTTTTATTTGAGCCGAATTAGATCAGGCTCCGATAACGGGATGATGAATGTGGGAAGTTATTGGATGGAAAAGGATTATCGCAAAGCAGTGCAGATATTTGATAAACATTGATAAGTTTGTTGAACTCCTACGCTTTTTTTTTTGAGCTCCTCTCATATTATCTGAACCGTGGCGCGTATAAGCTTCTCCACCTCTGTCAAAATCGGTAGTTGATGAGATTCATTAACACGTTGACGACCGTGTGCATCCGCGCGTATGCACGCCCAGACCACCTTTTAGCACTTTCGTGCATTAATTTATCATGTGTAAACGAAAAATTCTCAGGTAACTTCTATGCAGTGATAACACTGGTGTCCTGGTTGTCATATAGAACGCACGGCATTGTGGTAGCTTTCAAACAGTCCAAACCGCAGCCGTAGATCATCAGCCGATTTTGATGTGGTCAAAAATGGCTCGGTCGTCAACGTGTTAAACTGAGTTAGCCTAGCAGCACTTACTGCTGTGGGTATGGTCCTCAACTTTTTGACGGAAAGTGAATGATGTCGATATCAAAGGCACCGTTTGCCCCGATTGAGGTTTGTGAGAGATGGCTGATAATGTAAAGCGGAGAACCTAACTAGGTAGTCGCCCAAACCCCGCTGCAAAAGGTGAAGGAAGAAATTTGCTTCAGAAGGTAGGAGTAGGCCGCAGCGCCCATCATCGTGGATGGTCTGCAGATGACAAGTCTGAGATTGGGCGCCTAAAATCTGATACACAACAAACTACGGATTCGTTCAAGTGGCAATCCTAGATACAATAAAGCCCAATTTTGGATAGTCCTCAGACCCAACGCTGATGGGTGGCGCCGCCTGGGCCTCTTCTGCCTTTTTAATTCGCTTTGGAATTAAACTTGGGCGCGGAACTTGGGCATTTACTTAGGTAAGTTCCGCTAGTTTGAGTGGACGGTGCCTTTATTCATGTAATATCGGTCATATTGGTACAGGCTGTGAAAGTGTAGGTTGATGCACAACCGTAATGCTGTTAGGACACTTCCATACAGGATATTTCCATGCAGGATATCGGTGCGTACGACACGGCGGCGGTTTTTCTTAACATAAAATTCACTTTGAGATACACGCCTTTCTACTTGTTAGGTCATAGACTCTTTGAAAACACGCTCCCACAAAAGTCGAGTTTTAGTTGAACAAAGCAGGAGTTGCCGCTCAAAGCTCCTTTCAGCTTTCAAACCGAATCAAATGGGGTACTTGGTACCATTTGATTCAACTGGCTTGGCATCGGCAAAGACGGGGCTTCGTGACCTAATTAAGGCTAGGTAATGATCAGAGAGCACTCGCGCGAGAGAGACGCAGGTGCGTCACGGGCGCGAGCGGCCTCAATTAGATCACAAAATCCCGCCCTAATGGTGCCAATCCAGTTGATCAAAGGTTATGTCAAATTGGAAGTGTTGACAAAGCGCTGGAGCCTCAATTATTCATGCGTTGCTAAGCCGAGCGCTGCTGAAGTCATTTTTTGAGAAAAAAAACATAACTGTTAGTCATTAATTGAATGACTACTGATATGAAGCAAGAATGACAGGTGTACGACGTCCCAATGTCATTACAAACCACAAAAAAAGCTATACGGATTAACACATGCATCTTAAACAGACTATGCTCTTTATGGGATCTCTGTAATTGGTATCCACCTTGAGAATATTATAACCACTTGGTCTTGTGTCTATAGCCAGCTACTTATTTCTACTATGAAAGCCAACGGTAATAATCAATTAGTGACTTTTAGTTCTTTTATCCGTTCTTTTATCCCAAATAATTGCAATTGCTTAACAAAACCCATATCAATATTCTGGTGCGAATGTGGTCACGCAAAAGGGATTACCGTCTCTTCAGATAATTAGTCTCAAAGAAAAAAGGGCCAAAGAGAAAAATACAAAGCAATCTTCTTGACGGCATGTGAGCATTAGAAAAAGTATACGACATTCACGATTTGGCAAGGTTCCACGCATGTTAACTATCGCAAACTTTTGAAATATCAGGTTGTAGAAGTCTGCAACAAAATTTTTGGAATATCTTTTTCAAATATCAAACTTTGATATGTCATTTAAAAAAAATTTTGAATTCAATTCAAAGATGTTAAAAGCGAATATCATTTGTTGACATGCAGGGTGTCCCAAAAAATGTACCTACTGTTTAATTGTAAATAACTCTCTTGTAATAAAGTGTTTCGAATAGCTTTAGATACCATTTTGTAGAGCGAGGTTAAACTTAGAGCTCTTCATTGCTGTAGGATTACGATACGAACTTCGACAAGGATTTTAGGCCATTGGAGGCTATATTTTGTCTCGGAACAAAATCAAACAAGCCAAAAAGTCCTGTACTATTGTCAATGGCCGCAGATTTCGAATTTAGAGTTTCCGTTTTACTGTGATGCTTCTTTCCTGAGTTATCCCCGGTAAATCGTAATAACTCAATTCCCAGCATTTGTCAGAAATGTAATTACACCTCAAAAAAGCTGAAAACACTCGTCAAAAGTTGTTAGGTGGAACCAGCATCCGCGAAAACCCTAGTACACAATTCTACAGATTTTTTGAAAAAAGGTCATTAGGTGGTATATTTCACAATCTATATATATATATATATATATAAAACTCAATGTCTGTGAGGATGTTCGTTTAGTTGTTCGTTCGTTATAGAAACGCGCGCCACTGAACCGATCCGGCTGAAACTTCGCACACGTATATTTTCGACCCCAGCGGTGGTTTAGAGCTACTTTCCGCGGCGATTCGCCGGGCCATTCTATCAATTTATTGATTTGTTTACTCAAACCTAAGAAAATGAAGTGCCATCATGGCAACTGATCATTTTTACATATAAGCATGTAAGCAGGGGCGGTAAAGTCCATTTCAGTCTTAAAGTTGGTAGGGTGCGGCAGTTAGTCTGAAAGCGCTTTATGCGCATGTTAGAAGAAATCTGGAGGCGTAAGTTTACAAGTTCTGTTGGCTTAACTAACTTGAAGTATCGGGTGAGACCGGGGCCACCAGCTAGTGGTTCATATGCTGGAAGTTTGTACCATAATCCTACAGTGATAAAGATCGATCGATGATTCGCTTCATACTGTAAATCTAAGATCAACCTCGCTTTACAAACTGGTACCTAAATCTTCTTGAAAAACTTTATTACAAGAGAGTTATTTACGATCAAACAGTAGGTACATTTTTTGGACACTCTGTATGTATAGAGGCGACCAAGCCATAGGCCTAAGACATACCTTGCGCGATTCCGGTCGCTGCGCGATTTGGCACAACAGCGACTCTTCGTAATTAATTCGCCGTTAATGCGCTGCCTTTGCTCAGAACTTGCTCCGTTTGCAACAACTTACGCAAGCAACCCAAATATGCGTCCGAGAAGTGCGCATGATAAATTTATAGAAATCTAACAAATCGCCAAGTCGCGTGAAAGTGGCGATTCCGCCGAATCGCGTGAGATATGCCTTAGGCCTCGGATGGAGCACTCAGATCTCAATTTTCTACGGTAGCATGGTATGGTACAACCGAAACTGAATTGATTTCTGTCCTAACTTCACGACATACCCTTTCCAACCAACGAGAGGAGAATTTTGTATTGACCAAATTTTTCTACGAAGGAATATGGTGCCCCGAATCCCAATCTGTACAAATCCGAATGTCTGTTTGCCTGTATGGGTGTACGTACTTTTGGAATAGAAATTTCCATTTTGTACCGATCTGGACCAAACTTGGCACACATACCAGTGTCCCAAAAAATGTATCCACTGTTTGATTGTTAATAACTCTCTTATTATGAGGGCTTTCGAGAAGCGGTACGCGACATTTGGTAGAGCTGGCTGCAGCTTAGATTTGCAGTTTAGAGCGAATCGTCCATCTTTTTCCCTTACTGTAGGATTACGGTAGAAACTTGAAAGAGAGTTTTGGGCCCATATTTTGCCTCAGATAGGAATCAAAACAGCCTAAAAATTTTTACACTAGGCCAATTAGAGTTGCTGATTCTAACTGTAAGATTCCCAACTTATTATGATGCTTCACTGAAGAGTTATGCAAGGTAAGCATTTTTGCGGCCATTTTTTCAATATTCCTAAAAAGTGCAGTTACACCGTTTAGAAAGCTTCGCAATCTCGATAGTTGCGTATTGAACTCAGCGTCCCTAAAACCCTATTACACAAGTTTTCACATCTTTTTGAAAAGTTTTGAAAAGGCAGCTTTTTCCACAGTGGCACCATATGTCCAAGTTCTACCGCAATCCTACAGTAATGAAGAGCGGTCGGTGATTCGCTCTATACTGTAAATCTAAGGGCCGCATGTACTAACCTCCCCGCTGGGGAGGGGATCGCAGCTTAAAAGAAAGCTTTATATTTCGAAACTCCAGATACCTGGATTTCACGTTGTGTACCTATCCGTAAGTATTCCTACTACCCTTCACTATGAACATGTTGAACAGGAGCAAGAAGCTGTACGATCCGCATTTTCCAGCTTTTGTATGATCCCTGATGATCCCCGGCGCTTTTCTTTAAAGTCATTTTCCTTTCTCCGAAGTTAACGAAAACCTTCCAAAGTTGTACTGAACATCTAACACAACAGTGCTAAGCATGTTGCTGATGAGAACAAATGAGTTTTTGAAAAGTCGAATTTTTCGGTCAATCTCAAATTTCGACATGTGGATCATCGAAAATTTCATGACTCCAAAACATCATTTGTTCTTATCAGCAACATGTTTAGCACTGTCGGTTTAGATAATCTGCACAACTCTGGAGGTTTTCGGAGAAAGAAAAATGACTCTAAAGAAAAGCGCCGGGGATCATCAGGGATCATACAAAAGCTGGAAAATGCCGTTGGTACAGCTTCTCGCTCCTCTTGAACATGTTCATAGTGAAGGGTAGTAGGAATACTTACGGATAGGTAGACAACGTGAAATCCAGGTATCTGGAGTTTCGAAATATGAAGCTTTCTTTTAGGCTGCGATCCCCTCCCCGCGGGGATGTTAGTGCATGCGGCCCTAAGTTGAGCCAGCTCTACAAAATGGCGCTTACCGCCAGGGCTCGGCACAGGTGGCTTGCAAAGCAAGCTGGATATCGTTTTTGGGGGAAAAAGCAAAGGGGATATCGTTTTTGCGGAAGAGCATAACGCTGTCTTTCGATTTGCTGCCGGCGCGCTGCCGGCATGCCGCCAGCAAAGAAACAAAGGGTTTGTTTACAGTGAAGTGAAGATGAAATGGCACCAAAATAGGTGTGTAGATAGGCATTGGGGAGTTGGGATTATGTATGAAAAATTATGAGAAAAATTACGTGAACTAAGGGCATGGCAAACTTTTTTCGGGGTTAGGTGGCTTTCAAGCCACCTGGATAACCACCTGAGGTGGCTTAGCGCAAACAAAGTCATATAATTCATATTCTTCACATAATTTTTCCAAATTTTTTACATAAAAGTAATCTACATCCAATATTCCACGAAACAGCTCGTGTACCTCCCCAAACGCCCTCCTCCCCGCCTAGTTATAGCCCTCCAATTTATCTGGATGGCAGCGGCAAAGGTGCTCCAAGCTCGCGGTGGTGCGCGGCGGACACAGCATGCCGCCAACCCGGAGAATACAAACAATCATTAGTTCTTATCAGGGTCAAGCAAGGGGTGTGGCACACGATCGCTGGTTACGACCCCCCCCCCTGATTGCTGTCTTAATAAGACCCCCCCCCCCCCCCTCCTGAACTATACAGGGTGTCCGTAAAGTATGTATACACTGTTTGATCGTTAATATCTCTTTTCCCAAGAAGTCTTTTGCCTTGCTTCAGGTACCTGGGCTAGGTGCTTTAGGCATTTTGTAGAGCTGGCTTCAACTTAGATTTACAGTAAGAACGAATCACCCATCTCTCTTCATTACGGTAGGACCACGGTAGAAACTTGAAACATATGGTGTCAATGTGGAAAAAGCTGCCGTTTCAAAATTTTTCAAAAAAAATGTGAAAACTTGTGCAATAGGATTTTTATGGACGCTGAGTTCAATACTCAACTATTCACAAGATTGCGAAGCTTTCTAAACGGTGCAACCGCACTTTTTAGAAACATTGAAAAAATGGCCGCTACCTCTTACCTGGCATAACTCTTCAATGAAGCATCACAATAAGTTGGGAACTTTACAGTTAGAATCAGCAACTCTAATTAGCTTAGTGTACAAGTTTTCAGGCTGTTTTGTCTCCCTTCTGAGGCAAAATATGGCCTTTCATGGCACAAAACTTTCTTTCAAGCTTCTACCGTAATCCTACAGTAATAAAGAGAGATGGGTGATTCGTTCTATACTGCAAATCTAAGTTGAAGCCAGCTCTACAAAATGGTACCTGAAGCAAAGCAAAAGACGTCTTGGGAAAAGAGATATTAACGATCAAACAGTGTATACATACTTTACGGACACCCTGTATACCTAAGATAGCATTACCAGAGTTGAGGAAGAGGTCAGGTACAAGTCTTTCGAAACCCCCCCCCTCCCATGAAAGCCCTCAAACGACCACTTCTTCCTCCTCTTAACCTCTGGACCTCAAAGTGTGATATTCTGGAGGACACCATCTTTTTCTAGAGAGTTTTCAGATTTCTGAGAGCTGTACGCCCGATTTTCTGTGACTGCACTTTACAATCACACGTAATTTGACGGCTGATTTTGATCTGAATGGGCATATTATCGGTGGGGCGTTCGGCTCCAAATTTCTAATGTAGCAAGAAGAAGCTATGTACTCAATAGATTTTGAAGGTAAGTTAAGGGGGTGCGGCACACCCCTTAAAAGCTGCGGCAGCCGCAGCTTTTAAGCACCCCATTAACTATATCAAAAAAACATTTTCAGCGGACAGTATTTATATGAATCGATAGCCTAAACCTTGTAGATTCCATAGGACTGTTTGGAGCCTGATTTGTCTTCTTAGCTCTAAGTAATATTTGGTGAAAGCACAGCGATCAAAAGCGAAAAATGGGAAACACGAGATTTTGGTTGGCTTCTAATTCCACAGTTTGCAGGTCTTCTGAAGCGGGATTCCTGAGGTGGACAAAGAAGGAGTAGTGCTTTGTCTTGAGTGCAAAAACAGATAGCTAATTCACCTTTGAAACAAAGTTAACCATGTTGGAATTTGACCATTTCATTTAGGTAGCCTAGTATCTTGAATCTTCAAAATTCGCTCACACCTTATCTACAGGGGTTAATTGACATGCTGATTATGGATATGATACGAATATCATGTTATCACTATTATCAGATTACCCAACTACGACCCCCTCCCCTTTTGACTCCTCAATACGACCCCCCAGGTGTGGCGTGCCGCACCCCACGCTTGACCCTGGTTCTTATTCCCTATTTATTGTCGGTTTTGTATTCTATTTCATTCTTTATGTTTTCATGTTTGATTTGTTCGTTAGCGTGTCAAGGGGGATGTCCTACTTTTGTGGCGAAGTCAAGGGGGACTTAGTTTTTTGCATTTTCAACTAGCCACCTCGAGCTGAGCCCTGCTTACCGCTTCTCGAAAGACCTCATAATAAGAGAGTTATAAACAATTAAACAGTGAATACATTTTTTGGGACACCCTGTATACTTCGGACGTCTTAGGCTGCCCTTTTTATAGATTTCTTAGAAGTTACACTTACGAGGCTGGGATTTGACACTGAGCATGCTGATTACGAAAATATTACTGATAAGGCCGAGTGGAGAAGAATTTGGCAGGTAGTAAGAACACAGGAAGAACTGGCTCATGTAGGTGACGAGTTGAATATAAAATCATGGAACAACCTAATATTAATCGATACTTATTAATAGCGTGTGTTGAGTAATAGTATAATAGTTACCGCAGGTCAATGGGAATTACTATAGATTTTTTCTATTTTTCTCGCTCGAACTAAGAATTGCGAAAGGAAGCTGTCTTGGTTCCATCTAGTTTTATCTCGTTACTACCATGACTACATGAGTAGAAATTAGAAGTTTCAATGCAATTTCGACTAGTACGCCTGAGAACACTGCTATTGTTACTCTCACCTTCTCTCATAGCTAATTCATAGTTCATTACAGTTTTGGCCTTCCAATGTTCCACGAAGTAAGTCCCTCACAAGGATTTATATGGAACAGCGCTATCATCGCTCGGTTCGTACTTCACTTCAATGTCACTGAAATAATTTGTGCGAATTCTTTCCTTTTTAGAAATCTACGCCTCCATCGTCGAAAAAACGAGAGCGAAGTGAACCGAGGATGGCCTTAGTGGACAACTCTGAGTAAGTCGGCATTGAAATCATGTAAGACGTAATGAATTTTTTAGTGGTATCACAACAAAGATAGAGGTTACTGAAACTGTGGAGGAAAGCACATTGAAGGATCTAATTGATAACGATCAAGAAGAGTGCGAACACCTTCAAAGACATCTACCGCGGTCGAAGGGGGAGTGGGAACACGCGCGAGATGTACAGCTTCAGGTCTAGTGTTCATAAAGCTTATATACTAGTACTTCGAAAGTTTTGTCTGACTTGCAGATTTTCAAATGAAAATCTGCAAATCAGGCAAAAATAATGAAAATGAAAATACTATGATTTTTTCTAAAGTCAACATTACTATAATAGAATGCTAATTTGAGGGAAGTTTTTGCTATCGCAAAAGTAATAGTACACATAGAAAGTAAGTGATAGGGAATAGATTATGGAAAACTTTACAAAGTTTTCTTCAAAACCGTCCCCTTCAACCCAAATTAATATAGGCAGACGCAACTGTAAGAATGTTTTTTGCTTGTCGTAGATGAACAAAGCTAACTTGCTAACGGCCTCTGCTTGCTCTTGCATTACTCTATCATACATTATTGGATACATTTCTTGTCGCCCTGCGTGGATTGCAGAATAGCTAAGAAACATATGTTTCCATCAAGACATATTTTGGAAGTAAGCGAATTTTTACGTGGAAGTAAAAGTGTTTTTATATTAGCCCATCACCCCTTACACAAAATTTATTTACATAGGTAGTTTCATGGAAATTGTAGAGATTTTGTTGAATTTCTTCTTGAGCATGACTGCATTTTGGCAACTTGTACTTTGAGACTCTCAATCATAACTAGACAGTATCCTCAAGCGATATGGTAAGCATTAAAAGCGAGAAAAGATCTTTTGAATAGTGTTTCTAATACCGCATAAAGTGCGAAACTAAAAATCGGACAGAAATTTTCGGGAGAGCCTAACCCATATGTAGAGGTATTTTCCGCCCGAATTACGACACTAAAACCTTTGATCTTTTATTAAAACATGCCTTCCTGCCTCAACTCATTGCTGAAGCCAGCGTCCAGGCAAACTAGACACATGGGGGACTGTACGTGGAAACTGATTTTGTAGTCTTGAATATCAGGAAAGAATACTAACTTGGATTCCTTTACTGAATTAAGGGATACACATTTGGAACAAGTTTGAAACGCTGATTAAATATGCTGTTTCTAGCTGATGAGTGTCATTCTGAAGCGAATTTTGAAATGCTATTGTGAGTAAGTGACATACTTTTGAAGATGCTAAGACGACCTAAGTAGGAACCTGCTTGGAAAAAATTAATAGGACGTTGAACTAGCATAAAACAAGTCTTTCGATCTTGGAAGGGAGCATTATGCTATCGCAAAAACACCTAGACGAAGACAACATAGCATCATCCAGTCGTTGAGCATGCAAACTTTGCACAGAAAAGGGCCCATAACTCGCTTCAGAATGCTGAAAAAACCATATATGGAATCAGCATTTCAAGCTGATTCCACTATGTGTAGCATCTCAAAAGGCGAGGGTAAGTTAGTATCCTTCTTTTTTAAGACGCTGCACAAGCAACAGCGCAAACGATGCACTCGCGGCTTACATAGCCATCTCCATGCCGGACTCCCCTACCGTATTTGGCGCACCACCTGCATGGCGCACACGTACCGCGTGAAGCCCGCCGTCCTTGTGACGGACCCCCGCGCAGTACCCTGCGCCTATGCAAGCTATCCGCTATTTAGGCATTGGGGACAGGTGTCTTGACGCTGTTTTCAACTGAAATACACAGAAGACGGAGACAAGAAGACTTCTCCGAATGTCATGATAGAAGGGGTGTATTGGCTGAGAAGCTACCCTCCTTTCACGGGACCCGCGCAGTACACGCACCACCCTTGCCCATATCCCGCGCAGAAGGCTGTAACTTGACGTAGAATGATTTACAGTATCACAACATTCGGAACATTTCCTTTCTTCCCGTTATGATTCGAACCAGAGCTCGGCACCGATGGTCTAGAAGCAGGCTGGACTTCGTTTTCGGGAAAAAAGCAAAAAGGATATCGCGGGCGAACACCCCGATAAACGAGGAACGAACACCTAAGTAAGGCACCACCTCCGCGGACTGCTGGTCCCAACACGATGCACAACAGTAGGACGAAAGGACCAGCAGCCCGCGGAGGCGGTGTCGAATTGAGTTGTTCGTTCCTCTACCCGGATATCGTTTTTGTGGATCAGAAAAAACAACAACTAGGTTTTCTTAGTCGAGGTTTCCGATTTTGGTCAGAGGGGACCTTGTAGAATTTGACGAAAGTCGGGGGTTGGGGTCGAGCTTCGTTTCCAAAAACCTAGAAGCGGACTCGTACCGGGTCCTGATCCGAACTCGAGCACTGACTTAAAAAGTTCACTTTGGTATCAAATCAAAATCCATCCACGTGATTTTGCCCAGACATTATCTTATATTAGGCAAATGAATGAGTCAATTGCACTGCGATATAAAACAAACTGTTTTAGATGTCTGATGGAATCAAACAAAAAGGAGCAGTGTTCCGCATGGGAGATCATTTATATGGATTCGACACCATCCGTGATCTGTCTTTTCAAGCTGCTGATAATGTCGATAGATTTTTTGGTAGAAAACCGCGTGGTGATTCCGAATACAAATCACCCTACCATTTTCTACACGATTATCTCCAAGATTACGGAAGGGGATTCTTCAAATCTTCGCTAAGCCGCTCAGCCTACGATCTCTCAGAATGGAGTAGACGCCATCTGGAGACGCCAAGCGTGGGTAGCCCTTTGAGTCTGTCTGGATTTGATTTGAACAATATGGACAACGGAACGAGGGAATACTTACAGAAGATCAGGCAGCATAACATTGCTCTTGAACGTGACTCTTCCTATCGGGAGCGATCATACAATCCTTACGCAGAGTTACATGACTCTTCCTATCGGGAGCCATCATACAATCATCCTTATAACAACCCAGAGTTACGTGACTCTTCCTATCGGAAGCCATCATACAATCCTTATAATAATGCAGAGTTAAGTGACTCTTCCTATCGGGAGCCATTATACAATCCTTATAATAACGCAGAGTTGAGGCCCAATTCCACTATTTACGAAAGGGATGATCGCAACTCAACGCATTGGCAAAATGGCTTCGATAGAGATACACCCATCAGGCCCTTATCCTCAGCATCTCATTTGTCGTCATCTATAGGAGCTTCAAGCATGATCCAGTTACCAACCTATATAGCGAATGATCCTAATAGTCTCAGCAATAATTTGCTTCCCACTTATTTATCTATGAACTCTCTGAACACAAATTACGAATGCAATCAGCATCTAGTAAGGAACTATCACGACCCTTCCGACGACAAATCGACCTTTTTGCTCTTGGACGCGGATGTCAAGCCGCTTGCTCCAATGCTTCAGGTTCAAGACACCATCAAAAGCATGACATCCTCGAGACACTCCACAGCTGAATACCTTTCCATTGACCGTGAACTTGAGCTTCGCAGCGATCTGCGAACGCCGATCAGTCCGTATTCAGACGCTTATTGGAGCCACAGAAGAACCGCGCTTGACAGTAGAGAACTGGCACAAAGAGTAAGTGAGCTATGCATCATGTAGATCTATCTTTATTCTCATATTTTCTGGTGTTTTTGCATCTCCGAAGAACATCGAAACGGATATTCGGCATTTCGCCCATTTAAGCACATCATCACTATATTCCCAAAGCGTAGCAAGTTAATTTACCTAGACTAATTCGAACTGATCTGAGTCACATCCAGTATTCATTCCTGGATTTTATGCCTATTTTCAGGTGACAGCCCAAGACATCGAAAGTTATGCTGGCACTGGAACAGTCAACAGTGGCGAGATACCCGAGCAGCGTTACGATCCGTATGCGACCAAAAAGGTATCTGCTAAAGAAGCATACATAAAGTATCCAAACACTCCCTGCCCGTTTTGAGCCGGGGAAGCGCATCGAACCCGAGATGTCCGATAGCGAGACGCTGCTTCCTCAACCATCGCTGTACTCGGAATCAGATGCCACTCTCATGCAAGATGAATCGCTGCATTATGATGTGAGTAGGGCAGTAAGTTGAAAAGAAAAGTTGTACACCAAATTTATTCCGGCGATGAAGGGCTTCCACGTCTCGTCGTAAATGATAAGAACACAATGAGTCACAAAGTGTCAAACAGTCAGCCTAAGCTTCCGTGATAGACTATTTTTATGCAGAAAGATGGAGAACCGTGTCTATCTGCCAATATTGAATCATCATAATTGGGTTGATGCGCTGGTGCCCCGTCATTTACAAATGCGTCTGACAGGGCCAGCGCCGCGCAGTGCAATCGCACATCTACGCGCGAGCGCTACCGTACACGCAGCGTACGGTAGCGCACAACATCGCGGGCCTTGATTATCAATGTACCTCGTAACTTTCCGTTTTTATAACAGCGGATTATTCTCATTCTCAATCTCCTTTTCTCGCTCATATGCGATCTGCCTCGATACCGTATACGATTTTTTTCGCAGCTAAGGAAAGAGGCACGAAATATTTGAGCTTTCTTCTCATGACATCTTTCACTTTATCCAGGCCTTCTTCGGGTGGCTCTTCCGGATGTCATGATTCACTATATCGACTTGTGTTTCGGCGGATATAATCGTATATCGTTTAGATTTAAGTGAACAGCACCAACGCGCCGTTTACTCAAACAGTTCTCTCAACCTATACGATATACGATTACACCTCACGATATGCAGCTTTAGCCGTAAGGAGAAGTCGTTCTCAGAATTCTCAAATGAAGTGATTTAGGTTACATCTTCTTTTGAAAGATATCCAATTAAATTTTATCTTCCATTCGCGCGGTGATACTTTGAGAGATCTCAGGAAGCACTGAAGTAATGTTTCAAACAGGAAAAGCTCAGAAACTTGGAAGCAGGACAGAGAATAAGCTAAGAAGCAGGAAGAATAGCCAAAACAAGGCTACGCCGCTTTACGCGGCATGGTTCCTGCACGTTGCAGCATACGGTGGCGGTCGCGCGCAAGTGTGTGACTGCACGCGGCGCTGGACCGTAGGCACCCATCATACTGCGCCAGAAAAACCCAAAAAAGCCGAAAAAGCCCGAAAGAGCCCAAAAGAGCTGGTTTGCAGAAACGAACTTCTGGTAGACTTCTGACATTATTTTGATGTGCGGACGACAGAAAATGAAGCAAAAAGACTCGGCTTCGAAATCAACACACATGCCTTAGCGTCAAAACGGAAGGGGCGTTTCGGCTTTTTTGGGCTTTTTCGTGCTTCTTTGGGCTTTTTGGGCTTTTTAGGCGACGTATGATGTGTCCCTTAGATGCATTGTAAGTGCAGAGCGCGCGCATCTGCAAACCTGATTTTGTGCCATATCATTGCGTTTTGATTGTTGACAAGACATTTGTTTGTGTAAGCATATTTTGGGCCATCCCTTGCCTGTCGGACCAGTTGGGGCAGGTAAACTATGATATACCAATAGGCCCTATTCAACTATAACGCACCAGCTATAACGTATTCGTCACAATAATGCGCGCTGAACTTCCCTCTTCGGCGACGTAAAGTCTTTTATCAATCGCGGTACCGCACATTCTCTTAGGTAAGGGGTGAGCCAGAATGGGCAACGTATATACACAACATATGCGCGCAATGTGACCCAACCCTAAGCCCCAGCATGCTCTGGATGCTCTGTGTACGAGATGTTTTCGTATTCGGGCTGCTCGCGTTCAGAAAATTGTTGCGTTTTATAAACGTAAAAACAAGGGAAAGTGAGCTCGATGGCGTTCTTTACATGTGAGCACAACCCAGAAGCTTCAAAGATGATACACTTCGCAGTACTGCTTTCAAGAAACCCGAGAAAATGGTTTTGCTTTCACATGGCATTAGCGCAAATGCCATGTGAAAGCTTTGGAGCAGCGGGCAAGAGGCGAAGTGGGCCGCAAACGTGCAAAGAAGAAATAACAAATCTGTTAAATATGGCAGAAGATCTCTGCATCTCATTAAAACAATGTAATATCACTTATAATAATGTTCACCCTGATCGTTCCTGTTCTCTGTTATATATAGCAGTGGAAGCCACTTACCTATATTTGAATGGGCAACACCTTTGATTGATTTAACGAATATCTCGTCTAACTTCTCAGACAATCAAAGGCTCTCAGCCGGCCCCACCAAAAGCGCCGAACAAGCCGCCGTTGCCTTTATTGCCTCACTGTCGCTTCCCGCTGAGAAACCTTGCTAGAACTGGCAGCGAGCGGGCTGCCAGTTCTAGCAAGGTTTCTCAGCGGGAAGCGACACTGAGGCAATAAGGCAACGGAGGCTTACTCGGCGCTTTTGGTGGGGCCGGCTGAGAGCCTTTGATTGTCTGAATTTTTGGAAAGAAGTGTCAAAGCTCCTACTCAGATAATCGCCGGGGGCAGGCGGTCCGCAAACTCGCGCTTTTCTGCAGGCGGTCAGCAGGATTTCGGGGCGTGGCCAAATCTTCAGCGGGCGGTATTTGCGTTTTCTGCAAGCGGGCATCAATACAAAATTTTCTGCAAGCGCTCGTCAAACAATCTCTTTCAGCGAGCGCTGGCCAAACTTTCAGCAGGCGCTCAGACTCTTTTTACGCAGTTTCGGGCGTACGCCGAGAAAAGATGAGACTCTACTCAGATAATCGCCGGGGGCAGGTGGTCCGCAAACTAGCGCTTTTCTGCAGGCGGTCAGCAGGATTTCGGGGCGTGGCCAAATCTTCAGCGGGCGGTATTTCCGTTTTCTGCAAGCGGGCATCAATACAAAATTTTCTGCAAGCGCTCGTCAAACAATCTCTTTCAGCGAGCGCTGGCCAAACTTTCAGCAGGCGCTCGGACTCTTTTTACGCGGTTTCGGGCATACGCCGAGAAAAGATGAGACTCTATGTGGCAGAGGTGCCATCGATGGTTCTATTACCCAAGTTTGGGGTACTTTCTTCCAGCGGAAAGTACCTGGGGATTGCGCGGTCCTCCACAAAGGACCGTGCGGCTCCCAATAATTTTGCATGTTTTCGCGGAATGTCCGCGAGAATGCGGCCAGTGTGCCGCAACTTATGTATAGAAAAACCGCTATGGATCTTCGAGCGTTCGTCTAAAAATTGGCCAAAATTATTCCAAATTTCTGCAAGCGGACCACAAAAAATCAGCGAACTATTTTTCCGGTGCCCGCTTGCTCCAAATTCGCATGGCCGCTTGCCCCCGGCGATTATCTGAGTATGTGGCAGAGGTGCCATCGATGGTTTTATTACCCAAGTTTGGGGTACTTTCTTTCAGCGGAAAGTACCCGAGGGCTGTGCGGTCCTTCAAAAAGGACCGTGCGGCTCTCAATAATTTTGCATGTTCTCGCGGAAAATCCGCGAGAATGCGGCCACTGTGCCGCAACTTATGTATAGAAAAACCGCTATGGATCTTCGAGCGTTCGTCTAAAAATTGGCCAAAATTATTCCAAATTTCTGCAAGCGGACCACAAAAAATCAGCGAACTATTTTTCCGGTGCCCGCTTGCTCAAAATTCGCATGGCCGCTTGCCCCCGGCGATTATCTGAGTAACCAAATGCGTCATTGCGTACCTCGTACTCAGACAATCGTTGGGGACAGGCACCGGAAAAATAGATTGCTGATTTCTCGCACCCCGCTCGCGGATTTTTTGCAAAGCAGTCAGGACTTTTCGGAAGACCGCTTGCTGAGCCAGCGGATTTTTGAGAGACCGCCTGTTGAATTTTTTTCGCTCTTATCTTTTGCAGAATCTTGCTGAATCTCTGAGGAATCGAGAACTCAGCAAGCGGTCTTCCCAAAAGTCCTGATTGCTTTCCAAAAAATCCGCGAGCGGGGTGCGAGAGATCAGCAATCTATTTTTCCGGTGCCCGCCTGCCCCCGGCGATTGTCTGAGTAGTGTGACAAAAATGACTCCTTTTGTCTCGATTTCTTACGGCTCGTCATGGTGCCACCATCACGAGCATGCTTCAATTTACACTTAGGGCCGCATGCACTAACATCCCCGCGGGGAGGGGATCGCAGCTTAAAAGAAGGCTTTATATTTCGAAACTCCAGATACCTGGATTTCACGTTGTTTACCTATTCGTAAGTATTCCTACTACCCTTCACTATGGACATGTTGAAGAGGAGCGAGAAGCTGTACGACGCATTTTCCAGCTTTAGTATGATCCCTGATGATCCCCGGCGCTTTTCTTTAAAGTCATTTTTCTTTCTCCGAAGTTAACGAAAACCTCCAAAGTTGTGCAGATTATCTAAACCGACAGTGCTAATAAGCATGTTGCTGGTAAGAACAAATGATGTTTTGAAGTCATGAAATTTTCGATGATCCACAGGTCGAAATTTAAGGTTTACCGAAAAATTCGACTTTTCAAAAACTCATTCGTTCTCATCAGCAACATGCTTAGCACTGTTGTGTTAGATGTTCAGTACAACTTTGGAAGGTTTTCGTTAACTTCGGAGAAAGGAAAATGACTTTAAAGAAAAGCGCCGGGGATCATCAGGGATCATACAAAAGCTGGAAAATGCGGATCGTACAGCTTCTTGCTCCTGTTTATCATGTTCATAGTGAAGGGTAGTAGGAATACTTACGGATAGGCACACAATGTGAAATCCAGGTATCTGGAGTTCCGAAATATAAAGCTTTCTTTTAAGCTGCCATCCCCTCCCCAGCGGGGAGGTTAGTGCATGCGGCCCTTAGACTTGAAATGGCCCGTAGTAATTGTCTCAGGCAAAGAACTGAACCCCTAATTTCAAATTCGCTAATTAAAACTATGACACTCCATCCTCCTATGTTTTAGAAAGGGAACTTGGACTGGCGGCTGACCGTCCGCTCAACTGCCCAAGTAACGCTGCTCCGCTGCTCTAAAACAAGTGTGGGGGAAAGGTCAGCTGCCTTAGATAGTGTGTAAAAGCTGAGAACTGGAGAAGATCCCTACTCTGCTCGCGAGTAACTTATGGAACACGAAAGGTGACATAATGCTGAACGATAGTGCGCGAAACTACACATATTCGGCGGCTGCGGATGGAAAGAATCGACGAACAGCTGATTACGCTATGGGAGAAGAAGACAAATTTTTCCTTTACTTTCCCTCGCAGAGGATGCTTCAATTTTTGAGAAACTGCGCTCAAGAGATTTTATCTCTTTATACTTTCAATGCAATGCATTTTCAACAAAATTCGTGTTAGACTATTGTAATTTCGTCCTGTTTGTTGGAATGACGGAGGTTTACCACAAGTATACAAAGAATGACCTATTACTCCCAAAGGTTACGGATACTTGAACAGGACTTCGCTTCCCTAAGGGCTATACGTCGCCTCAGAAGATGATATCGTCTATTCCCTACAGTATAGTGGGCGGAGCTTTGCCGACGTTTGCCAACTTAGATATCCGCGTGGCAGTTTTTGATAGCGAGAGAGTACAAAAACTAATGCTTTAAAATGGAGATTTAACAAGTTTTTCAACGTGCTACAATGTCTGCAGGGCCACGCCCGCTATGCGCATGGGAATCGCCTATACAAAGTTTACAAAAACTTGAGCAGGGCTTTGCCTCTTCAGGTACTGTACGACGCCTCCGAAGGTAATGAAAACAACTTCTAGACTAAGCTACTTTAGCTACCTACTCCTGACTCCGAACATACAATTAGCACTTTATCGTAACGTCTCGCTAAGAAGTCTACCAGTTGTCTTCTAACAGCAATTTCTTGATAATCTTAGAAATCGTGGTTACACTGTTTAAGAACATTTAAAATTATGTGCACAGTTAGTAGGAAGGTAGAAACTTCTGCGCATTGTTTTGGAAGACTTTAGCCTGATGTTAATAAGAGGCAATCAGGTGAACCTAAGCTAAAGGTAGCTCTTCTGAATATTATACAAATGTCAAAACTTCAAAGCAAGTGAGCTATAAACAATCGAACAATGGAGGACGTGACATGTAAGACTGTGTTAGAATTTCGAACAATTTTCACTAAAATTTGGGGGAAAATTTTTTGAGAAGGTTACTCAACAGCAGATAGAATTTTTTTCAAATACCTGACACATCACATATCAGAGGTGCATCTGTTTACACAACGAGCTCTCTTCTCCCATTTCCCACAAAAAAAGTAATCAATTATGGGATAGTTCTGTTTTCATCGCACATGCTTGTGGTTGTTTAGTTTTCCCCGTCATCTTACGTCTGAGCTCTTTTCCTCACTTTTGGAACAGAAATCCTGTCATCTACCAAGCAAATTTGTCGACTCACAGTACACTACTGGATATTTCATCTTCATCAAAACTCTGCTTGAATTTAGGTGGATACGCTGGCCTTGTCACCAGAATTGGAGGAGACGCACCTAAATTCGCACGTCTCCTCTGTGCCCTCAGTTGCCTATACCATAAAGGACATCGAACAGCAGCGGAAGGCTGAGGCCGAGCTTCTACTGCGGGATATCCAGAAAACACATCGTGCTCTTCAAGAACAGATAGACCAGTATGAAAATGCAGCTTGGCTTAGGGTAGGCTTTTTATCGGCTATCTTTGAGTCAAACTGTTAAGATCGCCTGTGAAAAGCGTAATTTAGAAGACAAATGATGATGCGGCTCCTACTACAACGGCTAACAAGGCAATAGCAGCGGAAAATACCACATACAACATCAGAGATATCTCTAACAAAGGTACCACGTACAACACAACCTCCGCCTCTACGACAAAGGAAGTGTCTGGAGTGACTAAATATGCCCCTCCTCTCGGTACTGTTACGTCCCACTTAATTGCATTAAACTAAGATCTCTGTTATAGGCACAGAGTACACTGCATCTGGAGCGGCGACCTCTACCTCCACCAAAGCTGGAATGACTGTAAGCCGCGTAGCATCTGCCAAAGAAGAATTGCATCGCCACGGACTCACTGACGAAGGGGTCACAAAAGAGACCTTTCCCAAGGAGACGACTTATAACAAAGCTCCTTCAAAAGAACCATCATATAAGGAGCGCGTATACGACACAGTCCCCTCGAAAGAAAGCTATTCCAAGGGAAAGACGTACGATATTAGCAATGAACTGTACAAGGAGTCGTATCCGAAAGGTGTTGTTTATGATCGCGTAGCTGCCAAAGGAAAATACCGTGGAGCAGTGATCTACGACGATGTGGCTGACGAGAGGAACCTCTACGACACTGTTGCTGATGATCGTAAAAAAATCTACGATGATGTATACGACACCAAAGATGTAGGTATAGGTAACGCGTTCAGCACTTTGCTCAAGGGTGTACACAGTCAGAGGATCCTGTTAGCCGTCTTCGCTTCATTCTAACAAGGGGAGCAGTTTAGTAGGGCTGTATTTCGACCGAATCCGGGTCCGATCCCAATGTAAATCGATGGCAATAATGGTATCAGGCTTGTAAGCATGGTATCATAATTGTCATAGCGCGCTACACTTGATCACTTCCTCGATCCAATTTGGATTCGATCCAGACACAGCGGATTTGTTTTGGTAGATCCATTACACATGAGTGCGAATGAGAAGAATCAAGTATTTGATACGAGTTTTGGAGGATTTATCAGCTTTCGGCTCAAATGATGACGAGTTCAGTTTGTTGATGCCATAACCTTTTTCTCTAATTTCGACTTTCCGCAATTCATGACAGTAGTACTGAACACTTGATGTACACATATTAAGCAATCAGATTTTAGTGAATGATGGCCAGCAGCCCTGGCAATTACCACTTCATTGAAGGCACCGTCCACTCAGATTCTCGGCTTCCATGTTTTTGTCGTTCCGGGATCTTCTCATGTACCTGATTCCGAAATCCGAGAATCCGCGAAAACCCCGACAAACCCTGTTTCGGAGACCCGCAGGGCAAGTTTTGCGGAACGGTGATTGGTAAGGTCCGCTCAAATGGGCGGACGAACGCCACGCCCACTCAAAGGGGAAGAGTCAGCGGCAAATCCGTTTTCTCGCTTCGGAAGCAACTCTGGCAGCGCGAGTGGGCAAGTATACAGCTGGGGGCCACGCTACTGTTAAGCATCAAAATCTCATCGACCACATTTTGGGTGGACGGTGCGTCTAAGCGCTAGGCACTACCGTATCAGATTTGTGCACATGATGATTGAAAAAAACTGTGGCGTCGGAAACAAAATGCAAAAACTGCTTGCGATTTGAGTTTAGACATGCACCTTTGCACTATATATGAGAGCGCTCGTGCTTTACTATACTATCACAATAGGACACACTGCAGTGTTTTTACACCATAATTTTTCAGATAGGGTTTCCGCAGCTTAAAACCAGTTTTCAAATCAGCATTCATCGCTGACTTCAGCAACATCTATCCCTTCTATTATGGAATGGTCACTTCGATTAAAGAGGCATTCCTTAGAAGTTTGAAGGCGCCGTCTACCCAAATCATTGACTTCCAGATTTTCCTCATTCCCACATCTTTTCGAGGCCTAAATTCAAATTCAACATCAGCACCAAAAAATCTTTATGGAGGTCTTGTTCACGAGCCCTGCTACGTCAAAACGCGTCAAGGAAAATCAATGGGTGGGCGGAACAAACATGTCGCCAAAAGAGGAGGAGGAGCTACCTTTAGCGAATCCGTCTTCCGAGGCAATTTTCTTGCTCAGGAAGCAACGTTTGGCAGCGCAAGCTGGGCAATTTATAGTTGGGGGCCCCGCTATCGTGGGAGATTAGAACTACCTCACTTTGGTTGGACGGTGCTTTTGAGCGAGCGCAGAATGGTACCAAAGCGGCTCAAGACATTATGGCAAGAACAAGCCCAACGATCAGTCAGTGTGCGCATTTTTAGGAGCATCCTGCGTTATATCTGATGACGTGCATTCGAAATCCTGATTGAGTGAAGCACTAAAAATTGAGTATTCTGCCCTGCAAAAAAAAACTTCTGTGCTTTTCTGTTTCCTCCCTCCGCTCGAAAATCGAGAAGCGCACATGACCTTTTGTGAGACAGCGTCTAGGTTTACTGATTATTATTGTTCCCTGTGTAAAGATTGTGAGATCCGAGACAAACTTCGTAGCTAAAGATTCGGCTTCAAGTGCAGCCTATACAGCGCTGCCATATTTGGGGATTCTCTTGTATGGCACTAGAAGACTGTTTGAACTTCAGAGTTTCAGAGCTGGCTATAATTTTATTATATTAGGTAAAGTGTTCGGTCTTTCTCGAAGCGCGATTCATAGAAATAAGCTTTGAGTATACTTTTTTGTGCAGAAGACTGAATCATAATCATAAGACTGAATCACAAGCAGTCTGGATATCACTCCTTACACAAATTTCATTCAGCATAGTGCAGAGTACCTTCAGATCCATTACGCGCATGGGGCCCTCGTTATGTCTGAGCCGGTGAAGCGACCTTTGGCTGTCTCTCCGCCCACAACATATGACCAAATAGCAAAGGAGAGGTACGGTACTTTTGGTATGCAGAGAAAACTCAACGTTCTGTTCTATAGAGACCTGGAGGAACTGCACTACGCAGAAACGGATCTATCGAAATATAAAGACGATGAGAATGTCTACGAGGAGATCAAGGATCCAGAAAAACCAGGTAGCTAATATTGATACGTTCTGGTAAGAGTAGGTCGATTTGCCGACCGTATTGCATCATGACATTACGGTCGTGCAAATCGTCTTCCATACAGGAATGCAGTCGCTTTGACAAGCAGGGCCCGAAACAAAAGTAAAAGTCTGGATTACATTTCCAAAGCAAAACCGGAAGGGGTTATTGCAAACATATCCCAAATGCATATCTGACGTCATAGACAAGCTCACTTCATCGAGTCAGTCTTCTAGAGATTAACTAAACCAGTCTTGACTTCTTAGACCTATTTGAAACATAACGTGACTTATGGAATGCTCTGTCGTGTTCGTTCACCAGCGCACAAAAGATGCACTAAACAAAGGACTTTTCCACGACGCACAGGCAATTACATGACGCCGATTTTGGACTATGTACTAAAAGTTATTATTTACAAAGGTTTTATGTGAACAGTTCCAAAAAATCATGTGCCAGTAAAACCTTTATCAGACTAGTGATTAGTCGTATTACAAAACGCCTATGACGACTTAGGCGCGTACGCATCAGCATCACTGCAAATTCACTTGAACTTCGACTTTCAAAATCTCTTTGAAAATCCGCTCTCAGCCTCTGAAGCGACACTGGATAAGGGGCGGGGCTTGCGATGCCTTGGTCCTCTAAGGAGCCCATAATTATAACGAGCCCGGGTATGCCTGGCAGGCACATCACTTAGGTGCAAGAATATGGCTCGTTTAAGAAACTTCCACCCCCCCCCCCTTCCGGCTTTTGGCTAGTTGGCTGAGGCAACCAACCCTTCCCAGTCGGCGGAAATCTTTTGACCAGTCCTTACAGCGGTTCCAAGGCCGAGCCATGGAAACCTCTTTTTTGACAGCTTCGAGAGATTTCAAGATTTTGGACTCTGCGCAGAAGTTAGAAAGGGATGGAATGCCGCAGTCCTCACCTTGTACAGATTCATGCATGTTTTCAAGAATTAGATGCTCGAAGGAAGCTTTCATCGTAAACCATAACGTTGAGGTAGAGATTCTGCTCTAATTTTCATTGTGGAGGAGAAAGGCAAGCTTTATATGGAGATCTGTGAGATTTTTGAAGGCTAATACAAGTGTTGTAATGCAAGTCTGGACAGTCATATCTCACAGTTCGCTTAGGATTGAGTGAGAGTAATGAGTAAGTAAAAAGTAAGTAGTAATAAGATTAAGTAAATAAAAATAAATATTAGTGAGTAAAAATCGATAACATGGAACTAATCAAGACTTATCTCAAGATAGTAAGAAGGATAATCTCTAATCAACTTCACTGATATGTCAGTAGCACGAAAACATAGAGAAAAAAGCGGCCGAAAATCAGCGAAGAACATTTCAAAATGCGCTTTGATTTTTGTGATCAGGAGATTGAAAACAAGGCATAATAGCAAGCTATCTCTACATGATTCACAAAAGAGAGTGCAAAATAGGCTTGCACAACATAGTAGTAATCAGCAAATCGCTTACGCTTATTCATTCCATCATTGTTGACGATTCAGCTCTTAGCTTTACCAAGATACAAGTACGCTCGTACTTTTCGTAAAGAAGGTGATCTTCTGTTATGGGTCGGGGTAAAAGTATTTGGCCAAACCAATGATTTGATAAAGATTCCTGCCTCACCTACTACTGATTGTTTGCAATGAAAGAATTATACACCATACATTATGTACCACCTATTAAAATTATTTGTTCATTCTAGTTCCAGCAGAACGCAAGTTTGCAAGCGATATCAATTCAAATTTTACGAAAGAAGAAAAAATCAGGAGCTTTGACGATTGGGAAAGATACAGCAAGACAGAGCCACCAAAAGGTAAACCTTTGAGATGTAGAGTGACAGCAAATTTTGGCTAAATGACAAGAGAAAGCTATCTTGCTCGTTTTTAGATACAGTCCATGGATCGCTGATTCATATTGGCGAGGGAGCGAAACCGCAAAGTGTGGGGAAAATCAACAGAGAGCTTGATCCATACGAACAGAGTTGGTTGTTTCACACCTGCAGACTTTTGCACCGAATCTAAAATTTCAGAGTTCTCCAAACAAGAGAAAAGAAGCGCATTTGAAAGCTATCGCGATTCGAAACCCAGCCGTAAGCTAAAACTCCTCTTGAGTGGTTCTTAAGACGCTTTTAGTTCAGCTTCTCCTACTTTCCAACGACTTCAGCATCAGTACACTCCGGAAGATATCAAGGCAATTTACAACAGTGGTGATGATGACGCCTTTTGGGACAGCATCAAAACAATGGAGAAGGGTAATTATGACACGCACGTTCCAAAAATGAACAACATATTTAATTTTTGCTAACTCCTAACAGCTGAGTTACGGAATATCTACAGGCAAAGCACAAACTTATCCAGTGGAGCTTTCTACATCGCTGATGTCATATCTCATTAATTATTTAATAGACAATCAATAGATATAGATGCTGCAAAAGCTTGTTATCATTCGATTTTACAGAGAATGAGAAGAACGAAGAAAAGAGAAAGGAAGAACTAGAAAAAGATTTTGATAGACAAACTGCATTGGCGACGGTGGCTATCAGAAAGATGAGTAGAAGCAATCAGTGGATAGACAAAGATGAGAGCGAGGTCAGCTATTTTTTCAGGTTATTCAAAAAAACGATCCCTGTAAATAGCACAGATTTTTCTCGATATTTGCTTTGCACCCTCATGCTCTTTTAGAGCTGCCGAACCTTTTACGTTTTCGCTGCTATTAACCTATCTTACCACAATAATCATGCCGAGGTTTTGTTTTGCTCATGTGTATACTTGACCTAGCGTACAAAATTATCGAACAATTCAAACCTACTCTATTAGAGTTTATCGTATTTTGGCAAGGTATTACTATGGAAAGCTTTACTCAAATCTTCTGTTCGATCCTCAAAATTCTTCGGAAAATAGGATGCAGCACCTACCAGCAAATCAAGGAAACTGCTCCTTTCGTTCTTACAGAAACCGTTAACCAAATCTTTTCGCAAATCATATCTCTCTCCAGAAAGCTTCTGATATTCGCGTCAAACCTCGACCAAAATCAACACCACGTGCCTCCTCTCCACGAGATTCCAAATGTGAGCGGATTTTGATTTTGGACAGTTCTGAAAATATAAAGGAATTTCGACCGATTACAGCTGCTCAACGATCTTCTAGTGCAGCACCTCTGTCGTCAACGAGTCGATCGCAGGAAGCGCTAAGTCATAGGCGTAAGCTTGGCTGCTGCGTTCCTCTGCCTACATAATCTCGTTCTTTAGATATGTACAATGAGACCTCATACGGAGGAAAACGTGAATCTCGTAGCCAGAGCCGGGGCCTTTCACATGCTCCAGGTGAGTGAATATTATCTCTTTTGGGTTTGTGGAGCATTCTGGGCCCCGCAGGAGGCAGAATTTTGAAAACGATATCCCCTTTGAAGCCAAAATTTTTTACGACTTCCCCTTTGACCCTATTTTTGACCCCCATAAGTCCCTGACTAACAGATATACACAAATAATAAGATGGGCGGCCTCAGCGCTTATTATAGTAGTACTACCTGGCTTTCCTGGTTCAGCCCGGGTCATCGTTTGAGGGGATGGCCAAAAACCACACTATGTCCTTCTACCTTCCCGTCCTTTTGGGCCATATTCTCCACCCCTTTTCTGCAGCAGTACTGCACTGCAGCCCTCCCCCTTACCCTCCTGCACGAGCTTACCCCAGAAAGGCTTATTGGAGTGACTGCACCTTCTAATTTTAAAGTGGAAATGAACTTCACTGCATTGTTCACAACAAAATGTGCAAGCAGTTTGTTAGCGGCTATTAAGTGTTCACTTTCTTTGCAAGGTGCCAAAAATCATTAAATCGATAGAAGAATTCCACGAATTGCTTCGAAGGGTAGCTTAAAACCATCTACCGATGCCGAAAACATATGTTTTCAAGGTTTCAGCTCAATGGGTTCATCCGCAAAGGACTATAAAAAACATAGGGTCAAGATTTGCACAAACTTTGACGTTTATATATCTAAAATACTACTCATTTATTAGTCAGCTGCAAAACTTTACAATTTAAAATAACCGATTGCGATTGGAGCGCGCTTTCCGAGGCCGATCATAACGCTGTGAACCCTATTTGGGGCTGTATCAAAGCGGTGCCTTGGTGGTTTTGGAAGCGGATTCGAACATATAGTAATACTCTCGACTTAGTCCACATATATGTAAAGAAATCCGGGAAATTATGTGAAAGGAAGCAGGGAGCCACCCCAGGTGGCTCCCAGGTGGCGCGGGAGCCACCTAATTTCGAAAAACACTTACCATTTTTTTGAATTTACATAAGTTTCTCATAATTCTTCATACTTTTTTTGTGCTCATGGTCCTCCAACTATACAGCAAATTTGGTGCCATATTGTTACTTATGCATTGAAAACGAGCCTATTTTGTTATTTTCCTCTTACAAGAATTGCGATTTGAATTCCCGCTTGCGAGCAGGCTAGCGATCGGAGCACAGAATCTTCACATTGCTGGAATCTAAGTTCATGGGACAGTAGCATTTTGGCGCTATGTCATAAAGGAGGAGAGCTATCTTTTAGGTTGGAAAGAAAAGAATGCCGCTTCGGGTTTTTTCGGCTAGAACTGATATTTCTCAGTGACTAAGGCATTCCAAAGAGATTTTATGCTTAAAGTTTCGAAAGTTTAAAATACAATGGCATACATGAGAGGAGCCCAGAACTACTGGAGCCCAGAACTACTGAGTTCGAATTTGCCATTTTCCGTTTTCCAATTTACTAACTCTTGAGCATAGAAAAAAGTAGCATAGAAAAAACGGAAGCAAGTGCACCCTTGGATAAGTGTATGTATCTGTTATTACATGTAGGAGGAAGTGAGATGTTCATAGAATTTGTTTTGGGCGAAAATTTGATTTTTTGAATCATGAGCCGTTTCTTATGTTTTGGCTCTAAACTTTGCGTAAATTACGACTGCAACGATTTCTTGTAGAGCTTCTTTTGCTGTAACGAATGGTACCGCACATGTTTTGAATTCGTTTTATTGCTCTGCTATGAAAAAGGACATTCTTTTCTTTTAAACCTAATATCTTGATCTCTCTGTGCTTTACATCCATCATCCATTCTCTGACTAGGAGAGGCGAGCACGCTTTGCGTACATTTCGGTCACAAGTTCATGGATGAGTTCTAACGCGTTTTGGTTTATTTACTATTAGGATTCGTGGAAGAACATGTTTAAACTCGTTAACCACGCTGGGCTTGAACATGTTCTTTCACGAATTTCTGATGATAATCAACCAAAACGCGTTAGAACCCATTCATAAACTTATCAATTAAACCTACGCAAAGCGTGCTCGCGTCTCCTAGTTAGAGAATGAATGATACATTAATTTTCGCTCGTGTGCCTGCCTGTCTAATATTTTTTTCTACTTCTAAATGGTATAATGTAAACCATTACCCATTCGATCTTTCCTTCTTGACTATGGCCAAATGTCAATCGAACAAAAGAATTTTGAGTAACCGCATTATGAAATTAGCATGGAACTATCCAGTACCATCTCTTCTGAGACAAAACCGCCTGTGAACGCTCTGCTAGACTTACCACTTCGAACGAGTAACAAATGTTTGAGCATCTTAATTAACGTCTAGCAGATGTTAACTTGTACATGTGCGGGCCGCGTTTTCTAATCTGATTTAAGAATTAATGACAGCAATTCTTAATGATTTCCCTGGCTTAAGCTTTCAAATGACGAGTCATTATCTTTAAAATGAGCATAGTTGATGCAAACACGCAGAAAGACAAGAGAGGCAAGGCGAGGTGCGGAAGCGAAAAAAACGGGAAGAAAAGACGCGCTCGGTTCGGCCCAGTCAGCCGTGCTCTAGTACTAGTTTGCTCACATAAGGCGCGCGCCGCGAAGTCTAAAAGCTAATCCAGCCGAAGGCGGCCGTATGCGCGCGAGGCATGCGCGGGCTTAGGATCCAAGGGTAAGGGATCGTTCAGACCGCCACAAAGGCGCACAAAGGCGCACGAAGGCGCACGGAGACGCGTCTTGTCTCGTCTCGTTTATCTCGACACGCACACTCACTCACACGGCCTTCGTGCGCCTTCGTGCGCCTTCGTGCGCCTTCGTACGCCTTCGTCCGCCTTCGCGCGCCTTCGTGCGCCTTTGTGCGCGGTCTGAACGATCCCTAAGGGATGCTCTAATACGCTTGTCGCAGCCGCGTCGCACATTGAAGCGACCGGTTTCGTCATGGAAGAGCTTTCAATTTCATGAGTTTTCACGACCGATCGTGGATACAGTCTACATTCATCCCATCCTTGATGTATCATCTAGTAGACAAAGATGTATGTGCCCATCGCCTTCAAAATGTGGATCTCCAAGAGAATTCCCACAAAAATTTGAAGAAGGACAACAAGGCAGCAAATTCGAATGAAATTTACAGTTTAGGATCTTGTGTGGACAATATGATTCAGATTACGACTCGTTTTCAGCTGACTTCCATGAATACACATATGAAGGGCTGTATTCGAAAGCTGGCTATGAAGGACTATACAAAATTGGGAATGCTAGCCTTTCTCGTTCAACGCCAACAATTGGTACCTATCCTCCCGGCAGATCTGAAGCCAACTGGAAAAGTGAAGAACAGCTCACCCGATCTAAGGAGCTCGAATACACTCCCCTTTCGAAGGAGAGCAGCCTTGCTGGCACATTTCTTGTTTCGTCGTCGCCTTCTGTATCATCTCCAGTGCCAAAAGCCACAAAACCTAGCCCCTCCGCACCTCGGAAGGGATTCGTTTACGATATGGCCAAAAAATTTGAGTAAGTCGTGGTACCTTTCTGAAACTCAAGAACAAGACATTAGTGGATTTGCAGTGCTAATGTTTTCACGAGAAACACTTTTGTAAGGGCATCGAATCGCAACATCCAACAGCAAATTCCCGCGACAGGAAGTGCAGCAGTAACGCCAACAATTACCGTTGGGAGTAGACTGACTAAATATCCTCCTCCTCTAGGTAAAGATTCATGTTCTATTGATCGCAATTGACTGACTTTTCCATTGTAGGAGCTGACTACTCTGCCACTGGAGCAGCGACATCCACCTCCACTGGAAGAGGAGTGTCTGAAGTTACCAAACCTGCTCCTACTCTCGGTACTAATTCATGTCTCACTCAGGCATCAGACTGATTTTTTTCTTTGTAGACAAGGACTCTGCCAGTGGAGCAACAACCTCCGCCTATACTGAAAGTGGCGTGTCCGCGGTGACTAAACAAGTCCCTCCTCTCGGTATTAATTTACTTCGCACTAATTCCATCAAACTGAGTTTTTGTTGTTGTAGAAGATTATTCTGCGACTAAAGCAGCAACCTCCGCCTACACTGGAAATGTTAAATGGTCGTTTAAAGTGACCAAGCATGTCCCTCCTCTCGGTATTAATCCGCACTCAATTGAGTTAAACTGAGCTCTCTAACTTGTAGAAGACTTTACTGCGACTAAAGCAGCAACCCCCGCCTACACTGGAAGTGGAGCGCCTGAAGTGCCTAAAAATCCCCCTCCTCTTGGTACTAATAGTCATTGGTCCTTACAAGCTTTGGAAGAACCTGTCTTTACCATAGCCAAACCCTTGAATTTTTACCTCAAGAAGTTTCCATAACCCCTCCCCCCAAAAGCGTTTTGCAGACGGCGAAAACAGATTTGGAATTAGCTTTCCATGCTTTATAAAATATTACTTCATATGGAAGTAACTTTTTATCTTTCATCTTCCATTGATACGCTAAAGGCGTGAAATTGTAGATGTACTAGTAGGACAAGAACAAACAAGAACATTTATGTTAGGTCGGTTCACTCTACGCTTTATTTTTCTGATTAGACTGATATGAGAAAAACCGTGTGGTGAAGCTGCTATGAAAGGAACAATATAAACATGATTTTGAATCAATTTTTTCATGCTAACAATTTTTTGCTATTTATCTTTTGCTCTTCTTGGAAGTCCCCCCCCCCCTTTTGCATCACCTAGACGCTGCGAAAGTTTTCCCACAAATACAGATTACATGGGTACAAACAATGTTGAAGAGTTTTTTGTTCAAAAAGCGGAATTGGTTCCTTTGAACGCGTGCCGCCTGGAGCAAATATTGTTCAGCTTTACAAGAATTAACGATAAGATGCTTCTATAATAGTAAATGTCAAGTGCTCAAACCGCCCTTCATTCAATTTTCCGTGAACTTTCGTTTGATCTTTATGAAGTGCAATGAAAGCAGGACTTATATGAAATACTTGCAACGAGTTTGTAAACCTACATGCCAAACCCTGATCAACTCATTGATAAGCGAGGGAACTGTAGTATGCTTTAAAGAGGATCTGCACTTCTGGTCAGCACTGTAACATTGAACAAAGAGAAGTAACAAACAGCAACTGCGACATAAAGGCGACCGTAGTAAATGTTTGTTGAACCTCATCCAATTCAGGACGCGGTCTTTCTCTAGAACATATTATCGAGGTTTATTCAAACTTGTATGGATAAAAAATACTGTCTTTACCATGGCGTACATATACAGGGTGTCCATTTATACACTGTTTGATCGTTAATATCTTTATTCCCAACAAGTCTTTTGCCTTGCTTCAGGTACCGTTTTGTAGAGTTGGCTTCAACTTAGATTCACAGTATGGAGCGAATCATCTATTGCTCTTCACTACTGTAGGATTACGGTACGAACTTCGACAAAGATCTTAGGCCATCGTAGGCTATATTCTGCCTTGGAATAAGACCAAACAAGCCAAAAACTCCTATACTACGGTAATGGGAGCCGCTGATTTCGAATTTGAAATTTCCACTTTACTATGATGCAATCTTCCTAAGTTATCCCCGGTAAATTGTAGTAACTCAATTCCCAGCATTTGTCAGAAATGTAATTACACCATCAAAAAGCCGAATCACTTGTGAAAAGTTGTTAGGTGGAATCATGCGCGAGAATCCTAGTACACGATTTTTCAGATTTTTTGAAAAAAATTTTGCTAGGTGGAATATTTCAGATTGGTTCCATATGCTGGAAGTTCGTACCGTAGTCCTACAGTAATGAAAAGCGATAGCTGATTCGCTCTATACTGTAAATCTCATTGAAGCCATCTCTACAAAACGGTACCTGAAGCAAGTCAAAAGACTTGTTGGAAAGGAAGATATTGGATCAAACAGTGTATACATCCTTTACGGACACCCTGTATATTGCAGGGACCCAAAGTTGCCACTAGGGTAGTATCCTCCTCTTGCACCAACCCAGGGTAACTGAGCACCCCCTCCTCTTGGCACTAATTCTTGGCTTATCCAACTGTATACAATTATACCTTTTCTTACAGACACTAACTACTCGACGTCTGTAGGAACAACTTCCACTTCTACCACAACAACTTCCACCCACATTGGCACTGGAGTGTCTAAAAACCCTCCTCCTCCCGGTAGGTTCAGATACATTTGGTTTTCAGCTAAAGGTAACCTTCTTAAAGGTAAACTAAAGCTAAAGGTAACCTTCTTGCAGGTGGTGGTACATATACCACGATGAAATGGAAGGTACATACTGAAGCGCCAATCGGTCACGGTACTGCTTCAACATCGGTAGCAACCGGTGGACCAGCTTTGCAGTCCGTGAGGCATAAGCTGCCGCCTAGAAGGGATACGGACTCCGGGAACATTCGGGTCCATGACGCGATCTATGCAATAGAACATCCAAATTCACCTGAACCTTATGTTGCAAGAACCGTTACAGCTGAGAAGAGTAAGGACAACAACAACGCAGAAACAAAGCAAGTTTTGACTGAAGTTCTGAGATTCGCAGTCTTGTTAATAGGATTATTTTGTATGCAATCACTGAAATTTGTGTGCATCCATATCCTGGCCCGGCAATGGGTGCGTAGAGTTAGTATTCGTTGCTTAGTATTCGTAGCAGATTGATAAGCCAAACTAAGTCAATGACATCTGTTATTAGTAGTGGCGCGGACGTTTTGTTCAGTAGTCCTCCTGATGAGAGAATTACGGTAAGAAATTCGGAACCTACACATCTACTTCAGTGGCGGACCGAGGGGGGGGGGAGAACAGGTCGCAAAATTTTTGTTGCTTACACGGTTATAGAAATGTGCAGGCGACTTATCCATATACGGCAATACTACAATCCTGCAAAAATTTTCGTTCAAATTAATCTTATAAAAAATATTCGTATGGCTGCCGCCACGCCTTCTCTTCAAAAATGGAATTATGGGCCCGCATTTTGAGACACTCGAAATGAATTTTAGTCGCGCCCGTTCCTCCCCCTTACTTACGGAAATCGTCTGTCAATGACAGTGTCACACCTCCAGCGGCTGGATCTTCGCAGCAGCTTCTCTCGAGCCTTGCGTCAAACCTGCCCTCTAGGCATCTTCCCACTCCCGTCATCAGCGTCCGCGAACGCAAAGTCCATGCGAGGGCCGCAAGGACCCGAGCGTGAAAGTGTGACACTGTCATTGAGACAGCCTATAATTTTGTGTAAAAGGGGAAAGCAAGATCTGATGGGGATCCCCTATTTCTTATATAGACTATATACTCGTGCGAGAAGTTGGGATCGAGAGTGAATATCGAGCAAGCTTTGTATTTTTTCAATCAATCTAAAGAGTCAGTAGATCCTATCTGTTTGGGTACACATCTCACCATTTTCTGCAAAGCATGAGTTATTTTCCCAAAGCTAATGGATGCATTTCTTTCCAGGTTGCTACCGATTGGCACCGAATCGACAACCAAATTGAATGAAGTGCAGATTCCTCGATGGAGCCCTGATCGTAAAGACGATCTCTGGCAGTGAGTTTCAGTGATTGCTCAACAATGCATATGAAGGCTAGACTAACTAAAGTAAGTGTCCCACTGCTGGAGATATGAGATATGTGATAGATCGGGATATTACCTGGTTTATTCAAGGAATCAACCAGCTAAGTTACCTCTCAAGCGCGGATTCAAGCTTACATAGAAGCCAGAACTGAGAGTAAGGAAAGCTGCTGTATAGAGCGGTCGATTATCTTTGACCCGGCCTCCTAGCTCGAAGAATGCATCCTAGCTAGATGGCAGCGGCAACAACACATACAAAACGTAAGCATTCAGGTCAAGGGGTGATTCGGCGGACTCAAGCCGAGCTATTGCTTTTTTGCACCTGAAAATGTTGAAGGCAGAAAGTCATTCTGCGCAAAAATCCGATCGTCACCTCCTACCACACCGCCGCCAATAAACTCCACTTGGCAAACAATTACACGGGATTTCTGAGGATCATAGTCGGCGCGGTTTGGGTTCTCGCGGTCCGCCTCGCTTGGGCAACTCGATGCATTCGCGAACGCGTATCGCAATTTCCCAAGCTCGTCAGCTATTGATGCCTATGAATACGGTATTTAGCACGCCTCAAGCGTGAAAAAATATCGTATCAGTCAAATTCGTAAGCACAAATGCCGGGTCTAATATCGAACGCAAAATTGAATACAAATTTAGCAACAAAAAATCTTACTATGCTTTCCCATCACTGCTCGAGCATGCAGCGACCGAGCCGTCCTCGCTTTTTCTAGAGCATCGATAGAACTTTCTTCACTTTTTTCCGTGAACCACAGGATAATGTCCACGGTGAGCTATGATTGCATGCAAATAATATCTGGTATCGATCTGCATTCCACTCTACATGGATGTTAATACTTGAACAAAACATGTGATAGTAGACATTAGGCTTTGTGATAGTTCCTGCTTACTCGCCTGCACTGTGCAAGCAACTTACCTCTCAGCTTCAAGCAGTTCGAGCTATAATGTAATACCTTCGCCTGCGTTCGGCAATTAATTCAAAATGAGGTTCATCGCGGGATAATCCCTTTTGATCCTGATGACACTTGCAAAAGAGATATTTGGCTGAACCCGGACGTTTCACTAATTTAGTCTGGTCAACCACGGCATAACCATATCCCGGTAACATTTGAGAGACTCCCGACCATTGTTCCGGCAGAGCTGTGTCAGCAGAATAACAAGAAGAAAATGGGCGGATAACTTGCGGGGGTTTAGATATCGAATATCTGGAATGTTTTTACTGACAATGGATCTCCTTTTTGCTAAGTTAAGAACGATTTCGTGACCAAAGCTCTTGTACTTCCTTCTTCGTTGTAAGCGATTGTCGTTTACCAGTAACCTTGCCTCGACAAAAGCGATCACAGCTCTCCTCAGTTTTTTCCACTCTTACTTGCTTGTAGTAAGATCAGGCGCACACCTCTCTTATGGACCATCTGTGATGAGTGATATATGACTTTCATATATCACTGTAAGAAAATATTTTAAAACTCACTTCAGTTGATCTTATCCTTCCTTTACTTAACGAGAGGAGAACGCGCACACAGTTCGAATGTTTCTTTATCTTGATAGTGAAATTTTTCAAATAGGAGATATATCAATATAAGCACAATCGTGTATAGCATGTACAGTCTTTCATCAGAGAAGTCTTGCTATCATTAGGTGTATGTGATAGAGTTCTTACGCGGTAAGGGAACAGCTTTTTTCTCCTACAATTTCGATTTCTCGTTCGTCAACAAAAGCCAAGCACGCAGACTTCATCTGTATAATCTATCACTCTGGCAAAATACAGCTCCTCCTCCCACAAATGAGAAAGAAACCCTTCAGTTGTATTCTTATGCTCATTGAGCGAATTACATTAACTCGTTATTATGAAAATATTTGACGAACTGGCTTACCCAGCAAGGTGTATACCATAATGGCCGCTTTGAAATGCTGATTACGAATACTTTTCCCTATCTACTCATCGCCTCATTGAGCAAAGTTACAGACAATCATTTGGCCTCAAATGACACTGAATTTGGTTGTATATTGCAGAACTGAGGTAGCAGAGCAGCTTCAAATATATTCCCATCAATTTTTCCATGTACAGAGAATATGTCTCAGGCCTCGGGCAGAGTTCACGCGATTTGATCGTCGCGATTCAATCGCGACAGGACAACTATTATGAGTTCATTGCATGCTGACCAGCTTGCATTTCAGTTGTGATACTTTTTCAGCCCGAAATTTTTGAATGTAAAATGAAAATGAATGGAAATCGCGGCGATTGAACCGCGACGATCAAATCGCGTGAACTCTGTCCGAGGCCTCAGACATTCAGGCATGTAATTTTGAAGCAAATTCGCATTTAGTATGAGTCTGAGTCATTTAGACAGTACCCGATCAGAAAATTGGAAGCGGAAAAATGCCTCTAACTTTGCTCATTGAGACTGTTTTAGAAGCAGCGCTCATCCTTTCGACTGATATAAAACTCATTGGGAAGTCCCATCGAAGTCAAATACATTTTCTTGTAAGGTTTTTCCTGTGGACGCTCGGGAATCTGCTAAGATAAGCTAACATTGGAAGCAGAACATATCGAGAACAGTATGAGTAGCGCTTTCAAGTAATATGCAAGATAGAAAATGAAAAAACACTGACAAAACCTGCATTATTCGAACAAAAAATTTGGACATTGAAATCCATATTTTATCTATAGTGCGAACTGTTTTCACACTTTTTCATTTTTTAATTGAAAAGTTCTGGGATTTTTTGAGATTGTCATCGTATATTCCGCAAGAATCAAGGGGAGAAAGAACTTACCCACCCTAATATATGCTTTAAATGCTAAGGTAGTAAATTTGGTATTATAAAAACAATTAACGCAAATTTTGCTCTTTTCTTATTTTCTCTGCCTCTTCTTGTTTATTTTTCATTTCTGTATGCTGTATTTGAGCTCTATTTTACGGCGGTAACACGCAGGATCGAGCGCTTAGGAGATGGAGTCGAAGAAATAATTAAGAAATAAAGATCAATTCAAAAGTCATTTCCTAAAATCATCTGTTCGCGTGTATCGTGGTAGAGACTGATAGCGGAAGTGAAGGCAGCAAAATTGAAAAACTTTTCTGTCCGAATCATGCGCAGCCACATGGCACCATGTTGACTCAGATGAAAACGCACAGTCACGTTAGCGCCCTCTCGCCATCCGCCATATATGCGGGACATTGTAGTGTCATTTCATTTCATCCGAATTTGATTTGCTCATGAAGAACCCTCTCCCTTGTTGGAAATCAGTTTTGTAATTTGGCTGAGGCTTTTTTGTAGGTTTTTCACCTTAAAATCGTTAGAAGAATGATGGGATCTGAATTAAACTTTGCAAAATTGATGCTCGGGGACGGGCCGACGTCAACAAGCTATGTATCTCGGCTAGAAAGTTGTTAATTGGATTCATAATTTTTTTTTTTTGCATTACGCTCTGAAGGGCTCAGGGCTCGGCACGAGGTGGCTAGATGAAAATGCGAAAAACGAAGTCCCCCTTGACTTTTGGGTATTTTTACGAAGTCCCCTTTGACCCCCCACCATTTTCCCTAAAAATCCTCCAAAAACCGAAACGTCGACTAAAAAAAAAACGTCGCCAAATCGCCAATTTTGCGTGTGTCTTCGGTCACAAAAACGAAACCCCCTTTGCTTTTCATCCCAAAAACGATACCCAGCTTGCTTGTAAGCCACCTCGTGCCGAGCCCTGGAAGGGCTATAAATGGGCAGAGAGGGTTTAGTAAGCATGCTGATTACCACTGAAATATCTACCATTTTTTTAGTTAACCTTTCCATTTTGCCGTATTTGTACTCTTGTTCATGAGCTCCAAACTCGCTACACGCGGATAAATTTATCTGCTGACTTTGCAGCAATATTCTTAAGATAAATGATCAGTTTCCTTAGTTCATGACAAGATCAGACCTAGAAATGTAATCTCCAAATCCCCAAAAAAAATTTTGCCTCGTAGCGACAGCAAAGCGGCTGATAATCGTAGAACGGACTTTTAGCCAAAATTGCAATCGTGTGCATCGTGAAAACTTTGCTGATGGGTGAATCTTTGCATTCCTTCAAACTTTGGACGAAAGTAAATCTCAAAGCTTTTTGGAGATTGGATATCAATTACCATACTAATATTGCAAACGCTCTCTTGTTTTTCATGTCTTCTACGTCTGATTCAAATTTAACTTTAGTATTCTCAGTTTATAGAGTGGCGTTTGAAAGCCAGCACCATTCTTGTTGTTTACATGGTGTTATAATGTATCTCATATTACCTGGCTACTGACATGCATATGTATATACAAATAAGTGCTAAAAATTCAATCTTATCATGCTTGGGTTTCCATTCTTTGTAAGATTTGAGTGGTTGGTAACCAAACCGTACTATTCAACACCTCGTATTCTCAAACTCTTTCTTTAGAAAACCCTTAAATAAAATGATTGCTAACAAGGGAAGGATACCAACATTAGTCTGCGATTGAAGATGAGATGTACATCAGTAGACGAGCCTTTGAACGCTGATTCCAAATCTCTTTCCTTTTTTGCGGAAGAAATTTCCGAAAGAAGTTGTGGGCGTTCAAATGTCCAAATTTGTCAAGGTTTAGGTGGCCTAAAATTGGCGAAAAGCTGTGCAAAAACACCGCAAAGTGGAAAATCATCTTTGTATCGAGTATATTGTTTGCAAGGAAGGAACAAAGACGGTGGAAATCACATAGGTGTTGTTTTAGGGCTTTTCGCTGATTTTAAGTCACTCAATGCTTGGCAAGTCTTAACGTTCAATGCTCATAACTTCTTTCGGAAACTTATTCCGCAAAAATGGAAAGCAGATTTGGATCAGCTTTCAAAGGCACATCTAATGATATGCATCTCATCTTCAATAGCCAACTAATGTTGGTATCCTTCCTTGTAAGCAGGAAATGGTCAGAACTTAACCCAGCCATACCGCTATACTATATATAGCTGTTCGGTTATATATATC